AAATTCCCCGCCCCGAAAGCCGCGAACGTCCAGATCGGAGGAAAGTCGAGTCCCCGAGTCCAACCACGAACCCATCCCTCGACGATCCCGGAGAAAAGGACGGGCAAGACGTTTCCATGCACGCTCGCTGTCCCCGTTTGCCCCGTAACCTCGACATTGCGTCTCGACCCGCGCCAAGACACACACGTACACGCACAAGTCGTATCTTTGCTGCTGCTTTTTAATGCGTAAGCTTTAGGCTAACCAGAGGGCGGATACTAACGGAGGCTGAACGTACGATCGAGGAGCAAGTACGGACACAAAAAGTCACACCTATACGATCCAACGGAGGCATTTTATTGAGAAGCCGCTGCGGTCGGACGAGAGAGAGAGAGAGAGAGAGAGGGAGAGGAAAAGAGAGAAAGAGAGACATCGACACGTTTGCGCGCACCGGTCGACGCGACTCGGGCTCGTAGTTCGAGCGGTCGGTTCCTCGCACCTCGGACGAACCGACGGAATCGCGCGACCAAAATTGCCGGAGAGTCGAGGAGTTTCCCGTCTCGGCCCGGGACTCGCGCCCGAAACGAGGACGAGTCGGAGGATCGGAGGTTCCTTCCTCGAGGGGAAAGTCATTTCCCCTTGAGCCTCGTTCCGGCCGTAACGACGCGAGCACCCCTCTCGCGTCGACGCAGCTTTTACTCCGGAGCATCTTACTACCGAGTAGACACACTCTAAATTCGAAACCGCTATGGATCAGACCCTCCTTTCGCGACTTCGTCGTCGACCGGGCTGGGCGGCTCCCGGCGCCGTTCGGGTACCGGAGGGACGATCCAGAGGACAACCTCGCGGCGCGCGATTCCACGGAGAAGCGTTAGTCGTCCCTCTTCCTCGTCTCGACCGGGCGAGCCGCTCCACGTTTCCAGGGTTCGCCCGACGAGGAACTCGACTCCGCGTCCGGGCGAATCCGAGAGACCCGTCCCCGTTGCGCCCTCGAATCGGCCAAGGAGCAAGGTCAAGGGAGGGGTTCGCGAGTCGACATCGGAAAGACGTAAATCCTCGCTCCGGGGGTGCAACGGATCGCGGTGGAGCGGCCCGCCGGGTCACGCCAGACGTGGGTGGTATTCTGGTAGGTACGTCTCCTCCCCGAAGCCGTTCTCTTCTCTTCCGAGGTTGCTTTCACGGTTTCTTGCTCTTCATTTCCTCCCATTTTCTTTCTTCAGACTTTACTCTTCTTTCGTCTTCGAGGTGCACCCACCTCGAACCTCCCTAGTGACCAATACCGCCCCAGAGACCCCCCACCGCCATAGCCATGACCAACCCCTTGACCCAGGACTCCAGAATACGACCTACCCTCTGCGGGCCATCTAGGCAGCCGGAACTCTCCCCGAGGGGTCGTCGAGAGATTCCTCTGCCTAAATGCCCGATGGCAGCGTCAAGGGGACGCCGATGCGAAGTGTGAGAGATTAAAGCAAAAAGAGGGGGGCTGAAGACACAGGAAAAGAGATAACGAGAGCAAAGAGAGAAGGAAATCGGTCGGTCGTTAAGGAGGAGACCATTTCTCAATAAAACGCCACCGGGCTAGTAGATGCATGGCCAACAATACCAAGAGTAAACTGTATATCGATGAGTTCCTCCACTCCGCGCGTCTTCGCGTCCGTTCGAACCAATTGGAAGGGCGATCGAGCTCCGGAAGAGGGGACGGGAGAGAACCGATCCCACGTCGCCCGGTCGGGGGTGTCGAGCCTCGAAACCTCCGCGAAACGAACTCGAAGACGTACGCGGGGAACGAGCCTTAGGTTGCGACCAGGTCGAGCGTCGGCGAGCGACTCGCCGTTTCCTCGCCGGCGTTCGGACGTATGCCGTCCTATTCACGTGAGCATCTTGCTGCGAAATCGGACCCTGCCCGACATCTCCCAAGCCTGGATCCCTGTTTACCGAGTCGAGGACCTCCGCAGATGTCTAGCTGAATCCCAACCCCGCGCCGTAGATCGAAGCCCCACGAAACGAAGCATGAATCGTACACCGTTACAGCTGGCACGAATCGACACAACGATCCGCGACGCGGGTCGATACGACCCGATACTCGAACGCCGGGGAGCCCATACCGGCGACGACCGACGTCGGTCTCCAATTTTTCGGGAAAACGACCAACCGGCCGGCGAACTCCACGAGACACGTTTCACTCGGCCGAGGAGACTCTGCCCCCCGCTACACGATCGTTCCGGGTCGCGCATCGACGGCGTCGTTGCTTAACGGCGGGGTAAGCTCTTATCCAAAGCCCGATAACGGTCGGGCTCGGTCCAAAAAAGAAGCCGAGTCGCGGATCCGTAATTAAGACGCGCGACGTCGGGGAAGAACCGAGTCCGAGGGACGGAATTGGCTTCATGCGAGATCGTCGCTTTCCGGGCTCGAAAAGAGGGGCCGCAGCGGCAAGAAAAGCGAAAACCGATAAATCGATGAATCGCTGTCAAATAATAAAGGCACGTAAAAGGGCACGCGAGCGTATCAACCGATTCCACTTGATATGGCGATTACGTAAAGCTTCGCGTTACGCGACGTCCCCGGTACCGCTCGATTGATCCTCTAACCGAGATCGCTAAATTATGGCCCCTGCAACCGTCGAATCCACTTTTCGGATCGTCCTTGGACGGTCGCGGAAGGCGCCTCCGCCCGCGGAACGCCGTTTCGTACGTTATATTAATATGTAATATATACGGAGCTATTGGGAACACGTGACGCCGCGGCTCCCATGCGTTTCGGCCCGGGCCAGACCGGCCAATCATTTTTGAGTTATTCCGGAACGAGCCTCCCGCGATCGATCCCCGTTTCGCCCATTTCCCCCCGTGGATGTTTTTGGCCCGACCTCCTGACTGATAGACATTTGATGGTATCGGGGCTATAATAAAGTGGTAGCTCCGAGTCGTTTCGGAGATATTCCGTAAACTCCGCGCGCGGAGGATCGGTCGAACGTCGTTATCCGTCGCGGAAGTCGGGATGGGTCCCTTCAACGGCGGTGGAGGCGCTGATTAACGTCGATTCCTCGGGACCGGGTTCGGGACCGGGTTCGGGATAAGGTTCGGCCCGCCTCAAAGCTTTGGACGGTTTATTCGGCGTAAACACGCGGGAATATGCACGTGGACCGGACGGCCCTTTGAAAGCGCATTCCCGGCTGCGTAACCTTTTGACCTGCTAGACCTCGCCGGCGCGCCTATGCCGTTCTCCACGGGTAGGCCCATCTCCGTCCAAAGCGACCGCGCTAACCCCAACATCGTCCCGCCCTCGCTTCCGCTTTTGTTGCGTTTGTACCTTGGAGCCGCGACTTTGAAACACGTTTGATTAAGCCCGCCCGGCCAGAATGTCTCTGATCGTGGCTTTTTCCCCCCGCGTAATGGCCTCTTGGTGCACAATTATATCAAAGTGTTGCGCAGTTCGACGCGGTGCACAAAGTGTCGCGAACGGCCGCGCCGCCGCTGCCGCCGCCGGCGTCGCGAGCCTTCCGCTCCGGAGCGCCGCCAGCTCTGACGGAAAGCGAGCCGTGCGGTCGGTTCGCTCCTTTCCGATCCCCCGGGTCTCCGGGTCCCCGATCCGAGGATCGCGCGATTTCGGTACCGGACAGGGACCCCGAACGTCGCGACGGGTCGGACAGGGGAAGAGGAGGATTCGTTTCCATTCCTCGGCGCGAGCGATCGCGGTCGATGCCGACCAGGGAAAGCGGAAGCGCCTCCGCGTTGTTGCGCCGTCGATTCGCGCATATTTTGTCCCAAAATAAACATAAATTCCTCGTGGGCAGCGTTTACGTGACGTAGGAGTACTTGGATGTAACAATGGGGGCTGACAGGCTTTCCCTTCCTTTTTTTTTTTTCCGTTTGTCGCGACAGGTTTGCAAAGTCCTGTCAATAACGAATACATCAATCGTTCCTCCTCCGTACCCTCGCCCTTTGTTCGCTCTCTTTGTTCCGTCAACTTTTCTTTTTCCTCCTTTATCGTTCACGGCGGAATTGCGCATTTATTCTTACGCTCGGACCCGGCCCTCCGGGGCTGCAATCGTTGACATCGTTGCAAAATTGCATAAATCCTTTCATACAACTTTGAGCTCGTTCTGGTTCTTCGCCGCAACCCGGGCGGTCCCGGCGATCGGACGGAAAAGGTGTCGCGTCGTAATTTTGCGAGGGACGCGGAACGATTCGACGGTCGCGGCACGGCGGATAATTGAATCGGCATAAATAACGGTGGCTATCTCCGACGGTGGAAGACAGAGGGTGAAATTTTTCCGAAATTATTTAAACTCGGCGAAGGGCGGAGAGGGAATTGTTGGCCACTCTCAAAATCGAGGAGGACTATTGATAGAATGGCACCAACGTTAACGCCGATCGCATTAAAGGGATTGGTGGACGGAAGAAAGCACGTATCCAGAACTATTGTCAATTTAATACCCGACTATTTTCGGACCCTCGCGAAGGAACAATCGATACCGCCAGCAAATCGGGTCGCTGCGTTTCCCTCGCCTGCCTTTTCCGGAGACGGCCGTAAAACTTTGACGAAAACCTACCGACGGTTCTTTCGCGACGTTTCGGGCTTTGGACGAGGACGAGCTTCGAGGTCGGCGGAGTTCGGCGCCGAGCGTCCTCGAGCGGGGGCTTACCTGCCGATTCGGCCGGACCCCGGCCATCGACGTGCACGGGGGGTTGACGCATCGAACATGGCAGCTCGACGACATCTCCACCCAGCGCGTACAGCGCGACACCACTCGTTGTCCCGGTCAGATACAACACGTCACACACGCATCGCAACCCCCGTAACCCCGCCCCGCCCCGCCCCTTAGTGAAATGTTCCTAATGTAGTTTTAAGTTGGGATCCGTGTATGCTACTCAATTTCTCCTTCCTGGACTGTACGTGTTATGTTTCTTTAATGTGTATCTGTACATCCGTAGCTCCTAAGTACGGCGATTAAGGCGGACGTCGCCTAGCGATCCCCCCCGTCCGGTTCGCCCTCGCTCACGCCTCTCTCTCTTTTTTTTCAGCTGCACAGATTCCACAACGAGGAAGTAAGTATTCCACGTGCGAGGTCTCGTTAGCCAAAGAGACTCTCTCGCCGAGGCACGATTTACGAATCCTCTCTTCCTCGATCGTTTCAGCATGCAAGAGGAAAGAAGAGATGGCGAGCCAGGCCGAACACCAACAGCCCGCCCCCAAGAAGCCGCGCCTGGTTTTCACAGACCTTCAGCGCCGTACTCTACAGGCTATTTTTAAAGTGAGTGTCCACCCTGAGCGACGATTCCGTTGAGACGGCCGTCGGCTAGCTTCTCCGTCGATTGCCGGGGACATAGGAAAAACGGCGACTCTCCCGGTCGGCGACGCGATCCACGTGGAGGTGCATTCGCGTCGGTACGCGAATTCTGCGGGGAGTCCACGGCGAGTCCACATCGATCCGTCTTGAATAATTTCGTAGTCGGTTCTTTAACTGCCCTCCGCGTTTCGCTAGTCGGTGGAAGCGGCGTTTAAGGGCGAGTTTCCCGCCGATCCTCGATGTCGGTCTCGAGCTCGCTAACGAGATCGATCCGTTCCCAGGAAACCAAGAGGCCGTCGAAGGAGATGCAGGTGACGATCGCGCGGCAGTTGGGCCTGGAGCCGACGACGGTGGGCAACTTCTTCATGAACGCGCGACGCCGCTCCATGGACAAGTGGAAGGACGAGGACCCGAAGACGGTGGCCGTGGACGAGGGCCAGCTCTCGCCGACCATCGGCATCAGTCCGCGTCAGCCGAGCGACGTTTTGTGACACACGTCCGACCACGAGGAGTACCACGACGAGTCGCCCGAAGAGGACCTCTCCTTTTCGTAAGGGCCGAGTTTCCGCGAGAGTCTCCGGGGCCCGTTCGACTTTTGCCGGACTCTTTCGACGCGGCCGAAGGCGACGACTCTGCCCCGCGACAGCGGAGGACCGGAGGACCGGAGGACCGGGCCGAGGAGAGGGGAATCCTCGGCTTAGGCCTTGGTCGCGAGAAGCGACCCTTCGCCGATTGCCGACGATCGCGACAGCTTGCGGCCGACCGAGTTTCACCCTTGGTGCCATAATTTGCCATATTAGTCTAAGTCATCGGCAAGGTTTCCTTTATCCGCGACCTCAACTCAGTGTTCGTTCTAGTCGGTTTTATTCGGGGCGTTTACGCCTCCTGGAAGACTCGCTCGTCTAGTCAAAATTCGGGATAAGTTTAGTCAGGTTTACGCGGTTGCCCGCGGGAGCGGTCAACGCTCGCGTTTACGACCGACACGAGTCGCACCTCAAGTATTATTTCTAATAATTTAATCTCGCGTCGTCCTTTATCGTAAGCGCTTTTTTACGGCCGGTGCCGGACCGTCGTCGCGATTACGAACTAATCGGTTATCGAAGTCGCGCGGAAAGCTCGGAGCTGGCAAGAGTCTCGAGGCGAGGAAGGGTACCGACAGTCCGCGACGAATAATCGCCGGATCGGGCTCCGATCGCTGGAAAGATCCGACGCGATCGAAGACGGGAGAATCGTGCACACGCGAGGAGAATCCAAAGCGGTATGGATTATTTTGGTACACTTACCCGTAACCTCCTTCGATCGCGCGTCGCCACCGGGTGTCGGATGTTTTCAGTGGATCGCTACGAGCGGACTTCCGGTCCCGGAGGTGGGAAAAGAGTCGTCGAGCAACCTTTAGGCAATCGGAACCAACGGAAACTCGACTCGTCCATTCCTCGGTGGTCGTTTCACCATGTGAAACCTATAAGATAATGTATTTTGTGCGCGGCGACGCGATCGCGGGCACGGTGCCCGCCAAGTGATACGCGAGTGCGCGGTGAACCAAGATGGACGCCTCTTTGCGCGAGAACGGAACGGAACGGGAGTCCTTCGGAGGGGCCGTAAACGGACCTCTGGACGGACGGATTAACTAGAAGTATTCTAAGGGTAGCCAAGGAACGACAGACACTCGTTGCGCTAGCCGGACCCCCAAAATGGCTATGAGAAATCTCCGATATATCCCGATCACTCGTCTCTTTTTAAGGTAAACCTCTTAGACCTCCCTTCGACGAGATCGAGGCGTCCCCGCGTTCTCCAGGGTACGGTAGCTCGTTTCCCTCAGGTCCTAAACGATTTACGATCCATCCGTAGACTTAGTAAGCTTATACAAATTTGGCAAGGTGAATCATACTTTTTTATGGACTTTGACGACGGAACAAATTCTCCGGTATCGTTGGTATCCAAGGAAGCAATTTACCTGGAGAACTGCAGTCATCGCGAAGGTCCGCTAAAGGACACCTCGATCTCGTTCCTTAGCGGTCTCGAATCCGTAACGTAGTATAGTTTTTTTATGAAGTGCGGCCATTTTCGTACCGATACCCGTGGCCTCGCTTCGACGAGAAAACTCTGCAATTAACCGTTGCTTCGCACCAAATCGAAATGCCCAAAGAAACCGACTTCTCAAGGGGTCTGCTAGGAAGAAATCAGGGGAAAACAAAGTCCTGGGGAAATATACCGGAAAGGCATGGTTGACTCGAAGTCATTGTATAAATTCATCGTACCAAACGCGGCCCTCGTCGGCCGCTCGATTATGATCATATATAGTACAAAGTAAACATATATTAATTGTAATAACGGTTAACATTAAGATCGATGAACGGATGAGTGAGTGAAAGTCGCTGTCGGAGGATTTTCGAGGTTCTCTTGGGGGTCGAAAGACCCCCACGAGATCTCGACGAAAAACAAAGAGCTTTATGGCTTGCAGAACTTCGTTGGGAAATCCATCGGAAGTGGTCGAGAACGGAACGGGATTCGACCTGAAAATCAATTAAATATCGGGAACGAGAAAAGGATGCCTCGTTAAAAGTTTCGGCAAACTACTGAATCGTTTGAAAAAATTGGTCTCAGGACGTTAACACGAGTCACGGGGTTCCACTTTGCGAGTTGGACCTTTTTATTTTATTTTTTTTCTTTAATCGGTCAGAGGCAAAAACGTATTTTGAAATTTCACCGAAGATGTGACCTTTAAAAATCGAGGCTTCCGGATCCCGTTCCTCGGTCCAATTCCAAAATAGGATTCATAATGACGCTCGCGTCGTAGTCATCGCGAGGGAAGGGCGCGAAAAAGTTGAAGGGGCTCCGTGTTCATCCGCAATAAAGGAAAAGGAAAAAATATAAAGGCAAAGTACACTTTCTCCCACTCAGAGACCCGACAAAGACTTTGCATTTGCCACGCCACCCGGCACCCTCACACGATTCGGCGGCGCTCGTATACTTTTCTGTACCATACTCCTGTAAATAAATTAGACGCGCGAAGAGTTTTATCATTATTACGATGGTCGGTTACGGTTAGGGTAAACGTATAAATACTGCGATAAGGTGGTTTTTCTTAAAAACGGGGCAGGTAACTACTTAAGCGATAGGTAGTCACCCACACAGTAGGGATGGAATTACGATGCGTTTGAAAATTGGACACACCTAAGTAAGCCACTTAACAAAAACCAGATATAAATATATATAATGCGTGCCACCGAAACGAAACGCAACATTTTGTTATCGCGATTCAAGATGCCCTCGAATGGCTGGGAATGTTCAGAGTTCGGACGTTTCGAAGGAAGGACTATTTTTGTTCCGAGTTTCAAGCCGACGGCGCGTGTATCTGGAACGAGTTTGAATTCGATTCCAACATGATGTGCAACTATGTAATAGAATATGGACCGCGAGCTCGATTAATATTAATAGTATTGATTACGTTGTAATAAAAATTGATAATCTATTTATATAAAAATATATACATATACATATTACGGTAACGGCGTAGGCAGGTAAACTAGATGAGGTAAATCGCTGGTATACGGTCGCGGGACGTTGGAGAAGGCGCGTCGCGACCTACGACCGCCATTTTGGCGTCCCTCGGCGGCGGCGGCGGCCACGTTAGTGACGAGTATACGTGTGTTTTTACAGTGCAACGGTGTAAATGTTTGAGAGACTCGTTATTTATTGCCGTTCGGAGGGACGCGTGAGGAATAATCGAGGGGCGGGGATTACGCGCGGGCTCAACACGGCAGATCTTGGACGCGTCTTCCGGGTTGATACGTCGGTAACGATAATTCTATACGAGTCGCAAACGAGAATGGTTGTTTAATTAACGTTTTTACGGCCCGACGTTCGAATCTAGTACTTAATTTGACGATGCATAAACGCGTGGAATTGCGCTTTCAAAAGTACCACCTCCTTGATTCGAGACGAACTCCGGCGTCGCGATCGACTCGATTTTGTGTCAGAGATCACTCTCGGTTCTAATAAAAAAAAAAATAAAAAAAACATATCCTGTGCTCGAGGGCTAAATGACTTTGCGCAAGCGAGAAAGAGAAGATTTTACGCGGACAAGGATACGGGGGAAAGGGAAATCGCAAACTTTGTAGCGGTTCGAGCTGCAAAACTACGCGACGGTCTGTTTTCGGCGCTCTTTCTCTCTCCCTAACTTTTGAAGCCTCCCGAATTTCTACGGACCCGCAAAACCAACGCGAATTCCCGAATTGAATTTATTTCGCTGAAATATAAGTTATATCACGCTTTCTTCTATTTATTGCACATTTGTACGCACAAGAAGCGGGCCTCGCGCGACGGAAGTTCGACATCGTTCCACCATGTTTCGAGTCAGGGATCAAAGAAACGTCAACCCGCGTCCTTTTATAAACGAGACGTTGAATCACTTCGTGGATTCCGTTTGCGATTTTCTCAGTGATAGCGATCTCGATCGGGAGTTAGGAAGGAAACATTTGATTCGTTTCCATCTTTGTTTGACATCTTTGACGGTCAGGACCGCGTTTCGAGTCGCGACCGAATTCGTCGAGGTCGAGGTCGAGCGGTGCGACCCCCGCGCAACTTTTCGCCAGCCATCTCCGCCCCGAAACGGAAAACCTCCTTATATCATATCCAAATGCAAAGTCGAGCTGCCGCGTTGAGCGGCAACGAGGGCTTACACGGGGCGCGCGAGGAATCGTCGAAAGATCCTCCCGATCGTCGACCGTCGACGAGTTTATCACGGTATCGCGCAGGACCGCTCCGTCAGGGAGGACTTTTCGCGTAGAAAGGGGGAAGACAAGAGAGATATTCCCTAAAACATACGCCAGAGGGTACAAGCGAGAGAGAAAGAGAGAATGCTAGAGCGAAAGAGGATACGAGAACACAGTTAGCACGACAATAAGGTATCGATTAGTTAACGAGAGGGGTAATGTAAAATACAAGTGCAAACCGAGTATATTATTATATTAATTATTATGATTGTTATCCAACGAGTCCCATCGCGCGTTCGTGCGGAGAGAAGCGAGATCTCGGTTGAAAGGCATCAGCGATCGTTGGGTAGACGAGAGACTCCTCGTCGGATCGGGAAATATCCATTTCTTTGCGATTGCCGGCGACTCGACCGGACCGCACCGGGGCGGGTGGGGAGGAGGAACTCTCGGAAGCGACGGTGCCGCGGTGCGGGACGGTCGAATCGGGGAAGCTCCGTACCGATGTCGATATTAATATTACACCGCCGATATCGAGCATCGGCACCGCGAGGACCCGCGGGCGCGTACTCGACATCGCGGTACGGTATTATTATTCATTAGTTATTATTGCGGTTATTATTGTCACTATTATTGGTAGGTACCGTAATTCCTCCTGTCATCGCTGAAAGTTATCATTTCCCTGCACGTAACACGGTGTAAATGCTGGAATCGAATTTGTACATATACCGCGAGTGAACTCGCGTCTCGCGCGACCAGCGAAGCGTGGAGGCGTCTCTGGGCCTCGATAAGCGCCACGTCGACCGCGGGCTCTCGCTCGAACGACATTCTTCTCGAGTTTGCGCCGGGATCGAAGCTGCTATTCTTTTGGTTCCGTTCGAATCCGTTTCGAGATAATTGTCGCAAATACCGCGGCCGATCGGATCTCGAGGAACCGCGAACGCTTGGTGACGGGTCGAACCGTGGGATCGGATTATCGAGGCGCCGCACGAATGTACATGTATACGTATATATACGCGTATTCCGATGTACCGCGGGATGTTGGAAATCGTGCGTCGTGTACTCGGGGATCTCGTCCGCGGAAGAGACTAGTCGCAGGAATTGAAACTTGGAGTTTTGCGCCCGCAAAACCAACTTTTGTGGTTTAGCCAACATGGCCGCCCTCCTTCGCTCCGCGGATTAGCGCGAGGGGCTTCGAGCACCGATAGGCAATTTACCGTTTAGAATAGCGCACGGAATCGTTTCGCCTAATGCGTGCCACCGAAACGAAACGCAACATTTTGTTATCGCGATTCAAGATGCCCTCGAATGGCTGGGAATGTTCAGAGTTCGGACGTTTCGAAGGAAGGACTATTTTTGTTCCGAGTTTCAAGCCGACGGCGCGTGTATCTGGAACGAGTTTGAATTCGATTCCAACATGATGTGCAACTATGTAATAGACACATCGAGGAGTATCGCGAGACGCGAAGGATTGTAAACTACTGTAAACTACGATGTTACTACGTTTTACGAAGAGCTTACTGTAGCCGAGGATCATTAAACATGAGTTTAAGTCGTAAAGAGAAAAGTAATTGAGTGTAGCACTAACTCTTCTTTACACTTTTGCACCAGCAGTGTGGTTGTACTTAATTAATTATTGACGTGTAATTAACGTTTTATTACTTAGCAATTAAACTTAATTTATTTACGGATTAATCGAGTAGCTTTGTGTTGAAGCCCTTATTTTCAAATTCAAGCGAAATTTTTAATGCCTCGTTAAAAAATAAAATCGAGGTCGTCCTCGGTACAGGTAGGTGCCGAGTAAGGCCCTGTGGGTGCAATTCGGCATACGGACAATAACTAACGGTAGTTACGTGCCGTTGATTTTTCTTTTGCCCAACAACTGAATCGTTCCCATCAGTTAGCAAAAGCGGGAATACCGGTGATCGCCCTTCCTAGGATCAGGGCGTGAATATCGTGCGTCCCTGTTTCCGAAATAAAAAAAATATAATCTCGATCGCATAATCACGTAGATAAATAAAGTCATCGAATTTCCCTTGTGATATCTTACCTTCGTAAGTGTTAACGGACTCGAGGTTCATGACATGTCTGATGACGTGATATTCGTCGGAGATGCCGTTCCCGCCCAACATGTCCCTGGCAGCTCTCGCGATATCTAAAGCTTTCCCAGCGGAGTTTCTTTTTATCAGAGAAATCATTTCTGGGGTAGCTCTGAAATTGAAAGTCATTCGTTATGCGAGAAATATTACATCGCGCATTTAGTAAGACCTTTTTCTACCTCTTCTCATCCTTGAGTCGCCCGACTTGCAAGCAAGCCTGAAGTCCAATGGCGATTTCCGTAATCATGTCTGCCATTTTTTTCTGAATTAGCTGATTGGCAGCCAGGGGTCTGTTGAACTGTTTCCTTTCCAGGACGTAATTTCGAGCCAGTTTTAAGCACGTTTCCGCAGCTCCCAATGCTCCCCATGCGATACCGTACCGCGCGTTGTTTAAACATCCGAAAGGCCCCTTGAAAGGATTGCGGGATAATTTGTCGAACCCGTGCGCAAGTGTTTTGGAAATTTACCCGGGAATACGTTGATCACCGTAGAACAATTAAGCTCGACAAACCTTAAGACCTTTTACCCCCGACAACACGTTTTCCTGCGGTACCTCCGCGTCGTCCATTAAAATCATTCCCGTGGCGGAGGTCCTCAGGGAAAATTTTCCCTCGATCTTCGGAGTGGACAGTCGTTCCTCGTTTCCCTGTCTTTCCACGATGAATCCACGGATCTCTCCATCGTCGCATTTTGCCCACACAATTAAGACATCCGCGATGGGGGAATTTGTAATCCTAAAATTCGTGGACGAATGCTTTTCATAAAACAATATCTAGAAGACTGGAATCGTAGAAGACCATACGTGCACGTATTAACCATGTTTTACTGCCGCTCAATTTATACAATTTCCGAGACGAGTCGAATTTAGCGCGCGTCTCCATGGATCCTGGGTCGCTTCCGTGATTGGGCTCGGTCAATCCGAAACAGCCGATCAGGTCCCCCGAAACTGAATGAAAAATTAACGCCAAACTTAATTGCACGGTCAGGGAAATCGAGGGAAAATTTATTTATTTTTTTTTTCAAGGAGAACGCACCGAGCCTGGGTAAATATTGCTGCTTCTGCTTTTCATTTCCATACATATCTATGGCTCCAGCCACCAATGACGATTGTACGGAAAACGCGGATCTGTAACCACTATCCACGGCTTCGACTTCCCTTGCCAGTAGGCCGTAAGCTACCGAGGAAACCCCCGCTGCCCCGTAACCCTTTATGGTGCAGCCTAAAAGGCCAAGTTGTCCCATTTCCCGCATGATGGTTTTGTCGAAAATCTCTTTACGGTTTGCCTCGGTCACACGGGGCAGGAGTTTCTCTTGGCAGTATGCGCGAAATTGATCCCTCGATATAATTTCATCTTGAGTCAATTGCGACTCCAAATTGAAAGGGTCCTCCCATAGGAACGACGCTGAAAATAAACGAAACGAGCCTCGGGAGATCGTTCTCTACCTGCGATGAGTCCGGTGATTCCTCGCGGGCAGAATCGCGTGATCGGATTCGTTAGTAGTGGTTGACAGTCGGGGATAATAATCAATTATTAATGATTGCGATACGACGTATCCGTCGGTACGGTAGATGCAACCCGTGGTGGAGCTCGACATCGATCGAGGCGAGTCGGTAAGGTCCGAGCCCGTCGGTGACGCGGTGCATGCCCGTGCCCTGCAGATGGCAGGACTCTCGATAGTCAGCCATCTTGAATATTCTATTACCAGCTTTGTATGTCTTTGATCGGAACATTGGGATGTACGGTGCAGAAGTACTTACGTTTCTTGCTTGAATTCGCCGAGAAGGAAAATTCTGATAGGGCCAATTTAAGGGTAAATAAATCACTCCATCTCCCTGTAGACCACGGCCGATGTACAACACTCTCGGAGATACTCCGTCACTTGTATCGTAACGTATAAATAAAGTTTCGGCCATGATACATAATTATTAGTCGCGCGGCTAAGAAAGGATACGTCTTGAGAAATTTAATTGCCAACGACTACAGATCTTGGAAATGAGCTGCCTCGTGCTAGTCGCCATCTTGAGAAACTAAATACTTCTCGAGCTCTCCGAATTTCTTATCGCTCCTGTATGTAGAAAAACTTCCCGTTTATCACCCATGGGATGTTTTTACGACGGGTTTTAGTCCAGATCCGTTATGACGAAATTAACAGATTTCTTAACGTTGAGTTTTATACATATATACACATTTGCTTAAATACATTAATACCTTAAACGATACGGTATATCTGTCACTTGAATGACAAAATATAAGGTGCTATGAAAGTACAAGTGAACGTCGAAACTATAGCATCGTTTCTTAAAATTTGTAAGTAGATCGAAGACGGTTTATATATATTTTTTTTTTATTACAACATGAGAATGTCATCTTTACGGTCAGGTCCATCGGGCAGCCTCTGATTGGAAACTCGTATATTATTGAACAAATACCCAATGGAATCGGCACAGGGCCGCACCAGAGCTTGGGTAAACGCCGAGAAAAAGTCCCTCGTCGCAGCACACGTTATTTTCCATACTCTAAGACAGGGAGCGACGCACCAAATTTGCTGCAATAATCGTTAACGTTAGTCCGATCTATATTAACTAACGTTCAAATTTAAAGACCGCGTAGACCAGGTGTACCACCATCGACTGAGAATATTTTTGTCTTCGAGTTTAGGAAATAATGTATACATAAGGCAAAACTAGGAATGTCAGGCCGGAGTCGCTATCGATTCGCGAGTCCGAAAGTACACGAGGTAGGAAAAAGAGGGACGATTCACCTGAAATGCCAGGCAGGCAAAGGTGACTCCAAGGCAAAGGGCAGCCACGGGTGCCACCAGAACCGAGAGAAATACGTAACAGCATCCCCTCGACAATCGGAAGCAATGGCTGCTTAATCTCCAAGCGCATTCCGGACTTCTGATGCTTTCCGGTTCTCCGATTATGTCACTCCACATCGTCTTCGTTAACATTAAGAAGAATACATTGGCAAATAATTGTGCATTAAGCCTAAACCGCGCAAGGTGCTCTCATTTAATTCCGATGCGGTTGAATACAAAAATTGGGTCGCGTCGAGTCTTTAAACCTTTTTAATACGCGTACTCCCACGTGCGGTGCTTCATTGATTTTATGTAAACACGCGTAGGGTAATATCTATCTAAGGGAAAGTTGCGGATGTTTTTAATTTTCTTTTCGGTTATGGTTTACCTGAAGGTGGCGATTTAAATTATTGGGGTCCCTGTCTTCCAGTTCCCCAACGCTTCCATCCCCTATGGAGGAGTTTTCCTGTTTCTCCAAGCCTGGAATCCGAAAATTTTGCTTGATCGCCGTACATTGAAATACACTCTTCAGACGAGAGAACATTTCCTTCCGGCGATTGACAAAGCGGAAACTGGATTATAGGAAAAAGTAATGAAATAGCGCGCTTTAGTCGCGCGGACGGCAACCTACGGACTACAGGAACGACTAGAGAAATGGTACTCTCGGGGAACGCAAGAAACGCTTCAGGGTCTCATTGATTACGTGCATTAAATATTCGAGAGTGCACTTGTGTAAGGGTGCACGGTCAAATTATACAGAGGACGGAGTGCGGTACATTTTATACAGGGTGTAACCGAATCGAGCGAGGGAACTTTAAGAGCTCGTTTTACTTCCCAAGATGTAAAGCGTTTTTTAAATGCAATTAAGTACGATACGTTACTACGCTATTATATTTACCGAAATTCATGATATGCTCTTCACGGGGCCTCCTTGACCGGTTACTTTTCGACCAATCACTCATGGAGAACCAGACTGTTCACTGTTCCGAACTGACTGAACACCCCAGGTACATTTCCGTTTAATTTCTAGGCGAACGTGAACTCGGCAACTTGTGGGACGAAATCTTTAAAAGGAATTAATGAACGAGTTGAAAAAGAGAGCGGGTCAAGATTGTCGCGACAAGTTACGGGTTGAAAACGGCGCGGTGACATTTTTACCTCCAGCGCGGGTGTCGACAAAACTCTTCGAAGTCTAAGGGCGTAGAACTTGTAAAAGGCTTATGGTGGACAATGGTCAACGCGTCTGCGCAATCTTGTGGTCACGCACAACGCTTGCCCCTTCGTTCCCCTTGGCACCTCCACCCGCAGTTTGCCCATCAAGGCCAACAACCCCAAGTACAGCGAATGACCTATATTCGATCGATATGATATCGATGAAATCGATTGGTGACAAGACCGAGGAATTTCTTAATATTCTTTTAAACGAGCTCGTGAACTTATGTACTTGCGCTACTTGTATAATAAACTGTAAAATAATTCGTATAATAAAGGAGGTTACGAAATAATAACAATGAGTATGTTTAATTAGACGAGCATGTCTAGCGACTCCTTTAATTCCCTATTCCTGATTCTTGAAAATTATTTATACCCGGAAGAAATTCAGTGCCACCTCTTCGGTTATCCTATGATCCTGTTAGAAATTGGAAATTTCAACCCCTAAACTTTATGCCCGGGAGAAAGTCAGTGCCACCTCCTCGGTTGTCCTATGATCCTGTTAGAAATCGGAAATTTTTTTACAGTTCCACAATCGAGCGCTGAGAGATAAGTTGGGAGCAGAGAAGAGTTGGATCCCTAAGTTGGGCTGCCGTTGGGAGCAAGTGCATGAACCGCCTGCATTCTCCACAGAGGGCAGCATAGACCGCGATCGCGCGACCCAGCCCGTGAGCAATCTTCCAACTCATCTCCGGTGACAGGCGCTTTTATAGAAAATCAGAGAGAACATAGAAGCAGTATATTTTTCCCTGCTAATTGTTAATAATACTGTACAGAAATGGAGTGCCTAATTGGAATACAGTTTAAAGATTTTGCACTGATAGCTGCTGATATGACAACAACTCAATCAATTATGGTTATGAAAACTGGTAAAGGATATTTCAATTTAACCAAAACATATTAACTAAAAAATATACTTTTATTAGAAATCGTGAGAAGAAAAAGTTTTTTAAATTCGAATCAATATCTCTGGGTTAAGTTATTAAACTGCTGTATAATGCATGTCTGTGACTAGCTAAATCAATTTATTAACAATATTGCATTCCGCCGTTAATATCGATAGAGTACCTTTAAGTCAATCTTTTTTCAGATGAGCAAAAACTTCACAAAATATCAAATAAACTGGTAATGGCTGCATCAGGAGAAACTGGCGATACCACACAATTTTCTGAATTTATTGCTAAAAATATACAGCTGTATAAAATGCGCAATGGTTATGAGTTATCCCCAAAGGCAGCTGCCTGTTTTACTAGGAAGAATTTAGCTGACTACCTGCGTACTAGAACACCTTATTTTGTTAATTTAATTATGGTGGGATATGACGACGAAACAGGTCCTGAATTATATTTCATAGATTACTTAGCATCGTGCGTCAAGGTACCTTATGCGTCTCATGGCTACGGAGGATACTTTTCACTGGCTATATTAGACAGACATCACAGATATGGTAATTCAATTAAACATCGTATGTTTTTGGAACAAAATGTTACCGTAATGAGTATGAATTTTTTTATAACACATCTGATTTATTGCAGACATGTCCGAGAGCGAAGGATACGAGTTACTCAAAAAGTGTGTTCGTGAAGTTCACAAACGATTAATCATTAATCTACCAAATTTCAAAGTCCAAAAAGTATCTAAAGAAGGCATTAAGGACCTATCACCAATAACAGCAAAAAACCTGGCCATTGAAGATGCAGCCAAGGATTAAATTTAATTATATTAATTTTTTGTATGTACTTCACTGGAGTTCGGATATTAAAACTGTTTAGCACAGGATCGTACATTGAATTTTTTAACACCTAATTAACGGTATTGAAACACCAGAAACTCGAATCAGGGAGGACAAGGACAATGACCATTCCAGGAGTAGTTCATAATGTCAGAGTAATTGAAATAAATGCTAATACCGATGTATAAAGTGTACAATATAATTTCCTTTGTTTATTCAGAAATTTCTCCAACGTCGCTTTAATTGAATTAAGATAAAATAAGGTATTACACTTCAAGAGAAACTAAAGTAGGTAATGCCAAAGCATATTTAAAGTCCCTTTTTAACCATATGAAAAGGTAAATTTGATATTTTGTGTGCACTGCTCACAAGTCACAGGTAGGTAAGCACTTAAATTTTTCACGATATCTAAAGGTAAAAAAATTATAATCAAAATACTTATTATGCACCCGTCGTACAAGAGAGTCTAAACAAGACTTCCCTGCGAGGCTATGGAACAAAACGAACGGTTTCATGCAAAATTCCTTACATCACTTGGGTAAATAAATTTTTAAAGCTATTCAAATATACAGAAAATATGTCAAACCAATTATTATAGTCACGTGCAAAAACGCACACGCGTAATAAAAATCTATTCGCGCGAGTCACTTCCTCCCCGTTTTACCAAAGACACTTTTCTGGCATGAACTCTGAAATTAGCGAGTTCTTGAGTGTCTCAAATGATTTAATTAACACTGGAATGCCCTGCGTGGAGGTCCGAAATTGCCGCACGTTGATACTCGGTGCTGCGCACAATAATTCTCGCGCCATGGGTTAATGAAACTCAACGTCTTGAGTAAACTGCTCCTCCTCACTACTCACCAAAGATTGTTTTCTGTCATGAATTGAAGTAAACCCAATAAACGAACAGAGATTAACGCGAGTTTGATATTTTTGAAGTGGATTTACAATACAAATAGAATTCTACTATGGAAGCGATTTTAACGAGTCCACGAAAATTATCGCAGACTTAAAAATTCAGTCTTCAGAATTCTCTGAACTGTCAATAGGTCTCGCTATGCTTCTTCGCAACCCCAAGGAGTTTCGGAAATTTTAAGGAATTATCCATTGAGGTTGCTACGAACTCAAAATGCTAGTAAGTGCCAAAAGAGACACGTCAGGGTACTGAGTCCGTTGACTCTGTGCGTTACTTCGATGTGCTACTGTCTGCTATACATGGTTCTGTATACATAAGTACGGTACCAGAAAAGTATTCGACGTGCTCGTCGATATTATACACAAGATACCGATTTGACACTCACTAACCAATCGACATAGGAATGGGCGGAATAACGATGACTATGACAGAAGAAACAGGAAGAATAAGATTGGCTATTATGCGACATAAACAGAATTCCATCGGCAGGATTCAATGTTTGTTTGTGCGAAGAGCATCGTCAAGATTTGCCGTTGCGATTGTCGCCACGCACAGTCGTCTCATTCATCTGTGCTTCAACAGCGATTCAATCCATCATCATACACGGCACAGCTTCCTGCGTTTGACCATCCAGGATCACTCGAAAGCTAAGATTTATTTGTCCTTCTTACTATCTACACTTGACTGCGAAGGCTCTTCCGCCGAATTTGACGGATGATCTTCGTACCTATAAACACACGTGATAAAACCTTAAAATTCACCGAACTATTACGTTATTAAATCGACTACTCACGAGAATAACGCTCTGAGATCTCCTTTGACGAGCGCAAGCAGAAGTGGAGTACCAAGACATGCTGGCACCAGGTACAGCAGCGCAGGCTGCGCGTGTTTAAATAGATGCATGATCAGCAACGTTGTAAGGAGACCCATGAAGTAAGCGAAGATCGTTGCATAGAAGTATGTATTCGACTTTCGGCTCAAACTGTGATCGAATCGGAGCAATAGAGCTATGAAGATCCCAGGAACTACGATATCTCCAAGGCCTAAGATGGCGAAATTATTTGCACCAAGACCTTTATCCAACAGGTCTTGAGGAAACATGAGTTTTATCGGTGCTTCGAAAGACATCGCTACAGTCACCATTACGTTTGTGCCGAACACCCAGAATATGTCGTATGCGAACAGTCCGCACAATAGGATGCAGCCAGTTACGACATTATTGAGGTGCATCAGCTCAACGGCATTAATGGCAAAGGCAATTCCAAAGAGATTGTTTGAGATCCAATGCTGTCATAAGAAATAAAGAAAAATAATTAATCCAGCTAGTCAATTTACTATACATTGAAATTAAGGATATTTTTACGTACTTTCTTAACGAGGTACCATGCACCTACCAACGAACAACAAATTAGGCACACGATATCATGAAGGTCAAACATATAATTTATAATGTCATCTACACCGTCATCCAAACTCTTTGTGAACCTAATTTGGTATTGCGTCTTTGGAATTGCAGCTGGCACCAAAGACGTGATGAGTGGACTAAATTTTGTACAATGTCTGTTAATAACTTTTCTTAAGATCGACAAAGAAATTATTAAATTTATATTCATACCTCATCAGATGACAGAGTGCCAGGACACCAAGGAAGAAAAAATAGCCGGTCATGAGTAAATTAATGTACTCTTTTGAGAACAGCTAAAAGAAAAGGGAGTTAGTCATGGATGACAACTTAGGTCATGGCTAACAAGGGAAATAATAACTTACCTGGAAAAACATATATAGTCCAAATAGGGCGACGCTAGAAATTAACGGAAACATTGCTGCTTCCTTTCGTGATATATTTTCGGGTCTCTCGCCACTTGCTTTGAAGTTTTTCTGTAACAAAATTATACAACTTAACATACGAGCCATCCAAATATAGACGATTATAGAACTCATTGCTATTAGAAAGAAAACTTCTCCGCGATACCGCACGAACAAGAGTATCCATATGGACAGTTTGTACAAACGTTTTTTGACATATACCAGAAAAGAAACATTATATATAATACATTCATTGATGTGAACAATTTCATATACATTAACGATACATGTAAGCTCGTCTATTCATCGACGATAGACCTAAAAAAATTCTTATTACAATACGGAGCAAAATTCCTGTCAAGTGTCAAGTTTTCGAATGGACCATTGACACGTGCATTACTGCTTGACATTATAGTGATTCTTTCGATCGGTGCCATTTTACTGGGCGCATTTCGATTCGCAACAAGCAATGGCGTGTCCAGCGGACTTCCAAATTTAACGGAGAGAACTAAAAATATGTTGGAAGTGGAACACAACCTGCTGTTCTATGTGATGTCTGACGGAACGGTAACTACCAATGAAGATAGGTAGAATTGCCATGATTATTAAACTCCCGTAAGCGATGGCCATTCCCTCGAAGGTCGATGGCAGCCTCGTCGTCGTGCCATTAAGTTTTTCGGTGGCATCTTCCGCAGCCTGAGCCACAACCTGACTTTCCGTGTCCGCCATTTCGAAGCCGTGCACGTCAGAGAAATCGTGGCGCGCGACTGCAGGACACTTCCATGCGTTGAGACGAAGAATAATAGAGAGACCTATGCCTGATGTTAACCAGCTATCGCGATCAGTGTCTCCTAGCGGCCCGTAACCGAAGCCGTTCCGACCGTAGCGACAAAAGCTGGGGCGTGAACCCTCAACGATACTACCGTTGCTACTCGGTTCAAACTTTAATTCTCGAGCTTTTCTTTCGCCACCGAGGTATCGCTTCTGCGGATCTATACCCAGTGGTTGTGCCGTTGCCCGTTACTGCCCCTCACTGCCCCTTGCCATCCTCTCCGTCCTGTGCCAATTCCAGTCAATTCCGCAGTTCGGCAACTGTTGGCAACTGTCGTCTGAGCTCGCAACGAGAGAAGAAAAAGTTTCGTCGTCCTATCAACGGATAGAGAAAATGTCCATCTGCAAAGGGCCACGTCAGTAAATGCCCGCCCAATTGCGTCAGATTTTCGGAGCAGCGAGGAACCGAGGGACACCCGCAGTAAGTGACACTCCCGTTTTCGAGCTGGTCGAGCATTCCGAGTTGCGTCGCTAAAGAGCGAACTTTTCGCCTTATGCTCGTGCCAAAACGGAGATCGGCGATGTCGAGGAAGCGTCGTTCTAACCTAACCGATGAGAGCTCATCCGAGGAAGAGAGTCAGGCGAGTCCCTTGTCGAACTTTGAATCGTCAAAGGATGCGATGAGTACCCGTAAACGAAAAGAGAGTGCGAATTCCAACTACTCGGATGAAGTGCGGGTTGGCCGGAGGGGCCGCGGCCCCTCGAAGAGGCCCTGTTTGAACAGGAACGCGCTAATGGCTAGGGAGAACAGACAGAGAAAAAAGGAGTATCTTCAGAAGATCGAGAACAAGTTGTCATTTTACCAGCAGGAGAACAAAAATCTTAACGCTGTAATCCAGAAGCAGGGGATCGATGTCAAACGGCTCAACGGAGAGGTCGCCTACCTGCGAAGTGTCCTCAAAAACAATACGAGCATCACGGCTCTGCTTCAGTCGATGAACGACGGGCTCAGTCGGATCTGTCAGCAGAGGACAAAGGAGCAACAGAGTTCTAACAACAGAGAAAGTCTCAAAGATGGGCAAGATATGAGAGCCGAGCTTGGCGCATGGGAACAGTTAAATGATACCAAAAATGATGGTCTGGACAAAGGAGATGTCTTAGGGAATTGTTTTCGGAAGAACGACCGTGAAGCGATAATAGAAAATAGTTATAACACCAAAACAATGACAAATGCTTGGTCCACATTGAAAAACCAGCATCCCATTGCTGGGAAAACAGCACATCCATTCTTAAAGTCGGATCATACGTACACAAATCCTAAGGAAAATGAGAACGCAATCGATTCAAAGTACCAAATCTGTCCAGACAGTAATGATGCCAAAAACTTCGAGCACTTACTTCCAATCACGCCAAGCAGTCTAACAAATTCTGATGAGAAAGTCGACGTCAATTTTTCGGACGTCGAACTGAGCAATCTGTCCACATTGGGCATAGATGTGTTAGATGACTTTAGATTGAACACCGGATTGGCTATGCTCGAACAGCCTGAAAGTTCCGACGGCTTTCGGGAAAATTTCTTTGAGAAGATCGACGACGCTGGAATCTGTCTTCATGTTAACTCAGGGAAGGTCTCGCTGGAATTTTGTTCCATATGTCATCTGAACAGCCTGAATTCTGAAGCAGAGTGAAGGAAGAGGAAACAATGGTTTGGCATTACCTTTGGCGAAGAAGAAATCTCTGATGCAGGAAGAAGAAGAGGATTCCATTACTTGGAGCTTAGTAATGTTAACATGCTCCCATTTATTGGGAGCTATAAAGAATGGTCGGTATAGAGCCTTTCAGATAGGTTTAAGTGGTACAACATTGACATGGCAAAGGTCAATCTCCAGACTTTGGTAATGCCAACTCGGTTTCTATGGTTTTATATTCCATTGGGTTTACTCACGACCACATTTTCTTAGCCATTTTATTTTTCTACTACGCTGCCACAAAGCATCAGTATATACTACCAATACCATCATAATTCAATTTCAATTTCAATGATTTATTGTCATATTATATTGTAAAATAGTCACCATTAGATGTAAGTTTTATAAGAAAGAATCATCGCGTGTAAAGATGTCATGCAGCTGGTGCTTGATATTTGATGCGTTGTATGTAGGTTAACTGTATATATACATATAACTGTCAGTATTAACTATCCTCCGAGATTGTTTAAAGTGTTTCCTTTTTGCAGGATGACGGCACGATGGAATCAAAGCAGTTATCAGGGAATTGTTGCAAAAGGTGGGCGTCAACTTGACTTTGTAAACCAGATCTAAGTTAATTGTCTAAACTCAGAATTTTATTTAGTTTGTATCTCTATAACATTATATTAACTTATCAAATTTTCTCAATTGCTGAGTTTTGGCAGTTATTGGTCTGGTTGGTCTGACGCATTTCTGTAGCAGTTTATTCACAGTTTTGGAATGTTTACAGTTTTTATGTAATCGGTCGAGAGATTCCGGAGCTGTGATCGTCCTTATTGCTTATCAAACGTGTCGCATCCTGCACAGGTTGAGTATGAACGTATCACCAAGTTTCCACAATTCTCTACAAGCTTCGAACTTGACACCAAGTAATTTTCCAAAACCGAGCAGACATCAAAATTATTAATAAAAAGAAAATATCAATCCTATGAAATTGTTAACATTTCCTTCAGTGGACATGGTTCTTTATTTTGATGATAATGTTTTAGAAACATTTATGTTTTGATTCAGAGTTTGCTTCAGTAAATTTTACTTCAACGTTGAAAACTTGTATTGGTTTTTGTAAACTTAAATACATCAGTATCCCAGTAGGATTTAAGGGTTAGAATGATTTCGTAAATCAATTTAATTGAAACAATTGGAAAAGATGAGGTTACGAGTAAATGTCAAGTGGCTTATCCTTGTTCAATAGTCTCTTAATGATTGTTTGGTGTGCTTATATTTATTAGTAAATTCTTGAAGCTACTGAAAACGTACAAAATGACGGCCGCGGTCTCATCATTTGGTTATTTAAGTTTCAGCTGCATCCAGGGAGTGCACACCGTGGAACACAGGGAGTCTCTCCGATCATCTCTCTTCGCCTTGGGTAATTTAATTCTTGAAATTGGAGATTCCCTTTAACTTCATGGACAACGGTGTCGCAGTAAGATTTGCCTAATACACTTTTAGTTACTCTCTTTGGAGGCAGCACCTTATGGCAGAGCTAATTTGGTATCGCAAGCTTTTGGAGAAGCTAATTTTGGGAAACACAATGGGATGGTACGATTTTCTTGTAAATGCAAATAGAAATATCTCTGATGCTGCATTTGACTATTAATTTTTTTTTTCCTGGAGGAGCTATTTAAAAAAAATCGTTTTACAGATCTCGGAGGATGTTAATGGCAGTTCTTAAATAACAATAGCCTAAGAAAATGTCAAAACACTATTTGTATGAATTATAGACAAAGTAATTGACAAAAACCTATTAGTTCATTTTGTTGAACTCTGATAACTATTTAGTTATATAAATGCAAGAAGCATTGTTGCAACTTGCCAGGACATAGTTCAGACATATTATATATGTAAGACTGGAAAAATAAAACCCATGTATTTGTTTTGAGTGATGTTTTAGATTCTAATGGCCAACCCTGACCTACGGCTACGACGTGCACAGAAGAAACTTATTTCAATCATAATTAAAATAGTTTAAATTCTTACAGAAAATTGAATCCAAAATCCTATCTCTATACAACCCAAATTTCCGTCATTTAATGATATAACCTCACAGAATTTCGGGCCTGCCAACGGATTTTTTCATTATTTTTTGTATTTTAGACATTCTGATGTGAAATGTTATGGAATATTGGATTTTCCTTAGGGAATTGAAATTAGTTCAATTTCTCTGGAAGGTTCCACACGCCCAGCTACTTCGAGAAAAGTCCAGAACGTTCCATCATCTACTTGACCTTGGCTGTCAATAAGCCAGTGACATTCCTGAACGCTAATACAGTTCTAAATGCTTGTTAACGAGTTTCACAATTACTTATTTTTATTTTTTATATTATTTATATTATTTATTAAAGAAGGGCTAGTTAACTATCTTGGGTTCATAATTAGTAATTTTATTCATTAAACTAACAAAACAAACTAAAGAATGTCACTGTGCATGGGTTGTGCATTTTGTAACATAGGTATATTTTTATATTCTTTTCAATACAGGAAATAAAAACTGAGTTTCACACAATGTCCATGATGAAAACAAAATTGACATAGAAGAGATCAGAGTCGTAAAATTGTTTTATATTAAATTAACACGAGTTTGCTGTGATCTCATAAATATTACCTCATTATTCATAACAAAAATTATTCCAGTGATACAAGTAGTAGAAACAAAAAAGGGCAATACATTGGTTGTATATTGTCAGATAATTTCACTCTTTAAAATTTTGTGAGGCAATATACCTTTTTACAAAGGACATACATCTTATTTCTCTGCATATTTTCTCCCTTGTGCTGTAGAAAGTCAAAGGTTATATACAGAAGAAAGCTGATTGCAGATACCACTGGACACATACTGATAATATGACTTATCATTACAGTTCACATTCCTAATCGGCTGAAGACACCTGGTTTTTTTATGTGCGCCACTGTTGCAATCCTATTAAATGTTACTTGCTTCCCAGGAGTCGACCCAGTTACTCCTAATCGTGCTTTAGCTGGTACAGATACCATGTGCTCGGAAGCTAAAATAGTGAACAAAAGTAAAATTCTGTATGGTTTCGTCACTTCATTTGAATATTTGGGTATCTGAGTATTTTATAACAACCTACCTAATTTGCTAGAAGTGGCAACTCTCCTGACAATATTCAATTTTTTGGGTTGATCGATTAAAACCTTCTTGGTTGTAATTAATTGTTTTGTACCCTTAGAGAGAGTATGTTGCTTCACCTCCTGATCTGCACGCATAGTGCCAGTAGGTTTTGATGAAACATTTAGAATTTTCTTTGTCCTGATTATAGGTGCAGTTGCCGAGCCAATGGTACGGGCTTTTAGAATTCCATGAGCCGCAGGACTGCCTACTCCATCTTTCAAAATACCAGCATGCATAGATTCATCCTTCTTAGCATCCTTATCCCCAAGCCTATTAAAAACACTGGAATTCCTTTTAAAAATATCTTTACCAAGGCCAGTAACGTTAAAAGTTGTTGTGGACTCAGCTAAATTGGTTGTACTAGTTACCGAACTATCACCTAACCTGTCAAATACTGTTCTCTTTTGTTCAGCAGCCTTCTTAAGAATCTTTTGACTTCTCAAAGTGGTTCCCTTAGGCATCGTCACACAGTAGCCGACATTGTTGTCTACAGATTCTTTCAGTCTTTTCTGCATTTTAGCGGACCAATCTTCACCTTCTTCGTCGTAGTCATCAGCCACTGGTTGAACTTTTCTCTTCAGAGATAACTGTGGCTTTTCAGGAATCACTGAATGCGATACCACTCTTTCTGTACTTGGTAATTCTTTTTTTCTAACGACGATGGATTTTGTTGGACCAGCTTGAGCTTTTATTGTCTTTTCGACAATTTGAGATTCGCTCTTGGCTCTGATCGACGAAATATTTTTGCTAGGAACTTTGGTGACCACCTTTTTAATTGTGGGTTTTAAAATAGGCTTAGGATTAGGAGTTGGCGGATCATCCTCGGTATCAACCAAGAATCTCTCACATGTTGTCTCTTCGACAACCTTCTTAGCATATCTTAGGATAGCGATCATGTCTCCCATCAGACTAATGCCCATGTCTTTAAGACTAGGCTTATCCAGATCGGGCAGCATGTCTGGTTTGATCCTGTTATTAGAAAATACAACCGCATGTTTGGTAGCCACATCTTGAGGAAAGCCTGCCCCTTTAAAGAACTTCACCCAGTATGCTGTGACAATTCAAACAAAGATGAATGAAAAATCTGATATTCAATTTAATTTTTCTAACTAATTATTTATTCTGCATGTACTAATAACAAATACAGTGCTCGATACAGGACATAGTACTAATGAAAGCACATGTGCAGAATTATTAAAATTTACAGCTCACCAATAGTCAATAAAACAATAAACAATCTATTTTAAAATTAATCTTTTGAACTTGCACACACGAACCAATTAAATTGTTCAGATAGAGGTAACATTTAAATGCAAATAATGAATGCATTCCCGTTGCAAGAAAAATATTTAATTTGTGGGTGACAAAAATAAATATTTACCTGACAAAGATGCCGACATTCTTTCGCAAATGAATTTCTGTACTAGATTTTTTTTTTTTTTTCAGTAACGATCGTGGCGAATTTCACGATCCTTCACATTGAATTTTTTTCCGCCAGAGCAATGATCATTTTTGTGTCGAAATTTCAGATATCTGTAACGTAATAAAAATACAGATCAAGTTACTCGGTAGAATGACGCGTAAGCAGAATTGCGCACGAGTTGGGCTGCTGCACGATCATTGGTTAAGAGTTACGTAGACGGGCCAACGGCATGACCGGCGCCATGACGCTGTGCCGTAAATGTATGACTTCGTGCTCGTATGGTAATACGCTAGTATTTATCAGTGTAAGCAACAATCCGGTGTGGAAGAAGAGTAAAGGGTATGTCACTCGACTGCCATGGCGTCGTACGAAGGTGATGATTTTCAAAAGACATTAGAATACAGAATCTACAAGTATTCCAGCTTCTCCTCTACCTACGTGCCTGAGTGAGTATTCTTCTCCGTCCGTTTTTCTAACCTTGCTTTTCCGACCGACAACGGTCTCAAAACGTTTCTCCCGTTTCAAGCCTGCCAAGTTTTCCCCTCTCTTCCTGATGATAATCTTAACGTAAAGGCAACAGATCTTTTGACAACAAACGTTACATTGACGGCAACTTTAAAGTTCTTAACTTGATCTCGTACGTCTACATAAATTTAGCCGATTGGAATTTTACTTGGCATTGAACGATCAATTAAGCGTTTCAAAAAAGTCGGTTATAACTGACAGTTATATTATCACTGATAAAATCAGTGTACTCAAAAAAACGACCTGTTTTCATCTATTTCTTCAAGTTACCATAATTTGTCCATAAGAATTTGTATGTTGCGTTGCAGGAATATCTTAGTAGATAAACCATCGGATCAAGCTTCCCGATGGTCGTCGGACAATGACAACCATCCACAGGTAAAGACGCGTAGTGTATTTAGGAATACAAAATGGTTTATCGTGATAATACTTCTACGATTTATGTTCCAGTTTCTTATCTTGAAATTGCAATCACCATCTATAGTCAAAACAATCACATTTGGCAAATATGAGAGGACTCATGTATGTAATATTAAGAAATTTAAAGTGTACGGGGGTTTGGAACCAGAAAACATGATGGAACTATTGGAAAGGTAAGTTCCTATAGGTGATAGTGCTCTCATTCATTACAACATATTCTTAATATTTGTTTTCAGTGGTTTAAAAAATGACTCTGTACCGGAAACATTTGATCTGAAGCATGTTAAAGGTTCCGAAGGACATTATTTCCCTATCAGATATATTAAAATTCTTCCTTTACAATCATGGGGGCCTAGTTTTAATTTCTCCATTTGGTACATTCGTTTATGTGGGATGGATAATCCAAGAATTGTTAAACCTAGCATTGAATGGATCAATTTGGTAAGATTTTAAAAGTGAATATTGCTAAATGCAAAAATTTATTGTTACGTTACATCAATCCTTTTCTTATTTACACGTATTAAAATATAATTATCCTACAAAGTTGTAGAAGTTCTGATCTTAGATTCTATTGTAGTATCGACATCGAGAGGTGGTAAGACTTTGCATGAAGCATTTCCGTCGGTTTGAACAATTGGAGGTTGTTGAAACGCTTCAAAGGGTTACCGGAGTACCGCTCGAAGATCCTCGGTTATCTGGATTGTATGACTTACTAGTGACCAAAGGAGACTACTATCAGGCTGAACGATTCATTACCAATGCCATTACAAGTAAGACTTAATTTTAATTTTGAATATTTTTGAAAATCCAAAATTGATACGTACTTAATAATATTTAAATGTATCGCAGTGGGCCTTTTGAACGATTACATCAAAGCTCAATCCTATCGAGCTGTGTGGACAAAATTATCGTCAGAAAGTCCAAAGCCTGGAATGCGAGGTGGTCATCAAATGGTGTTGGATCCAACAGCTGAGATACTATACCTTTTCGGTGGTTGGGATGGAAATCAAGATCTAGCTGATTTATGGGCATATAATATACGTACACATAAGTGGACGCTAATTTGTCCAGACACTGAAGTTGTGGTTAGTAATTTATTTTATGGTTCCTTACAATTCTCAATACATTTTAAAGGACATATTTGTAATAAATGAAAAAATGTTAGGGCGGGCCCAGTGCAAGATCCTGTCACAAAGTGTGTCTTGATCCTGAGAGGCGTCAGCTGTTCACTCTTGGTCGTTATCTGGACACGGAATACCGGTCTCCAGATAATTTAAAAAGTGATTTTTATGTCTACGATATCGAATCGAATAAGTGGACGCAAATATCCGAAGACACAGAAGCGGTGGGAGGTCCTCAACTAATATTCGACCAACAGATGTGTATGGATGTTGAGAAACGAACAATTTATGTTTTTGGTGGTCGAGTCCTCGTACCTCCAGCAGGGTTGGTATTCAATTTTGTTCGAGAAATGCATGCGCTATGTGAATAATATCCGTATCATGTAATCGTTGTATTTGTAGCTCGGAAGATCATGGAGGTATCGTGTCTTCGACGGAACCCATATTCTCTGGACTATACTCTTATCATGTCCCGACAGGAACTTGGACTAGATTAGCATGCGACATAGCAAGACCAAGTCCGCCGACTATGCCTACTATTAGATCAAGAGTTGGACATTCCATGTTATTTCATCCGGTAAATGGCGATATATTAAATTTCATATCGAAGATTGTGCAAGTTGTACATTCAACGCGTACAAGACTGTTAAATCTACAAGCTTTATCGATCTTGTTGAAGGGTTCAAGAAAACTGTATATTTTTGCTGGTCAAAGGAACAAGGAATATCTCAATGACTTTTTTACGTACGAGGTCGATGCACAGCTTTTGGAGCATATAAACTTAAGTGACTTTGGTAGCAGAGAATCCAGCCTTATTCCTGCAGCTGGGTTCACGCAAAGGGCGACGATCGATCCGGAATTGGAAGAAATTTACGTTCTTTCTGTGAGTATCTGCTCATTCGAGATTTTTTTCTGTATTGCCTCTTGAAGGGTTTTTCTTTACTATTGTTTTCTGAGTCTCAATTAATAGAGCTTTAGGAAACACATATTTCTATACAGGGATTGAGCAAGGACAAGGATAAGAGATACGACAACGTTCAAAATTCATTTTGGATTTATAGTATTAAAAGTAACAAATGGACGTGTATTTATCGTAATGAGAACGTCGGTGAAAAGTATTGGAGTAAAATGCAAGATTACGAACCTTGTCCTAGATTTGCGCACCAGTTGGTCTACGATCACGTGAAGAAGGTAAAAAACATAGGTGCTCTCCGGAAGTATGCATATTGCCGATCGTTGACTGATCATTTGTAACATAAAGTAAATAATGGCTACTGTGGCGCAAAAATATACTCCACCGAAGCTCTTACATTATAGGTACATTATTTATTTGGAGGAAACCCAGGGAGATCATGTTTGCCGAAACTGAGGCTCGACGATTTTTGGCAGCTGAGATTGTGCAGACCCCCCCACGAACAAATCCTCAGAAAATGTCAGCTCATTATTCGAAAACATAAATTCGAAGAACTAGCATCAAAGAACAGCGTCGAGGCTCTTGAATATCTGCAAACGAAGATTTCAGAGATTATTGACCATAACGACGTTGAACAAACAAAAGAGGTAACTAATGTATTTCTAATCGTTTCCCTGCGATCTCCTGTTCCTCGTTGAAATAATTTAAAGAAACAATTGTTGGGTCTTTTGCACATAGACGGAATCGAATCTAGTCAATTAAAGGATCCCGTCGAAGAACGTATAGAAATACGTTTGTTTGTCAAGATGTTTTTACTTTTTAGTTTCAGTCTCTAACATCCGTTCTTTTTCGGGAGCAAGACAGAATGATGGAGAACCTCAGCTATAACGACGATTTTCGTGCGAGTTTAAACTGTTTCCCCGGTGACAATACTCAACAGAGTTTAACGGCTCGAGATATCCACATTCGTAGAACCGAGTTATACGACAAACTGACAGAATTCTTCCCGGAATCCTTGACACAACCTCGGGTTAATCTTATTGACCTTTTACCCTTATGATAGGCATCATTTTAAAGGAATCCTGTCAATAATATACTCAAACCTCCCGTTGTAAACATTTTCTTTTCTCTTTCCAACATTGGGACAATTGATTTTTTCCATCTTTGAAATCGGCTTGCGAGCAGTACAAATTAGGAGTCAAGTTTTCTTACGTTTTCCTTAAAATCCCTTTGAGGTAAAATCCTAACTAACCCACGGATATGGAAATGCGCCATTTATTAAACCTTAGGACGTTCATTTGCACCTTTACCGTATCAGTGTATCATTAGTTATTTTTTTTCCCTTCTTACGACTGACACGTAAGGTATCATTTCTTCAAGCGAACGTCAGTCGGTGACTAAAAATGTCTTGTAGTCAGTTGTTACATGTTGCACGATACTCGATGAACTTGGTCGTGCAATACGCTGAAAGGGAAACGGTATTTAATTATTGAATCAATTTTAATCTCATGATAGGGATTCGTTTCCACGGTGCTGCTGCAAAAACATTTCAAACGGTCGATCGTTTTTAGAAGTCTTCCTAAATGTAACGCATCATTGTCTTACCTTCCGCTTCTTCCTCTCGAAACACGATGATCTTATTTGTTAACGGTTTTGACATTTCCCAGTTAGTCTCAATTAATCCAAACGTTGAATGGTGACGACATGACTGCTTTCTTCTCGAACTTCAGTTATGTTACAACGAAGTCGTTCCGTAATGTGTTTCCTTATTTTCCGGAGGTAATGTAATACTTTATGGTTATTGCCGATGTAATTTCAATTAGGGTATACTTTACATCTTCCGAGTCGCCAAGTCACGGAAACCTAGGACTACCTAAACATCCTTTTAAAGCGCTATGATATATGAGTGCATCGTTCTTAGTGCGTATTCGGTAATAATTACCACGTGATTAATTATGTCTGTGTAATGATCCGTAAGATATCCAAAAAGTGAAAGATTAGATTCTAGTCTTGTAAATAATGTTGTATGAGTGATCAATGACGAGGTCCATGAGGACCGGCGTGAAATTGTATAATGATGATGTCTAAGAGGACTGACGCAGGTTAGAGGAGCAGCTCTTCGTTAGATTAGATTATTCGAAAAATGGATTATTGATTGTGTTCCGTTATTTCATCGCTTTAAGTCTGGTCGATTGAGCGTTGTTCCTTGATTGATTGAGAAAGGCGAGGCTTTTTATATAAATGATTCTCTTTGTCTAGAAACCTAGTACAAAAGGAAATATTTTTTGAACATCCGATTCTCATGCAGTCCTCGATTAGTCGACGAACAAAATAATCAGCCCGGTATACAAAGTATGAGAGGAGGTTTTTTGAAGTATCTTATAAATTTTTGTTTCATTAGGAAAATTGTATATAAATATAAAAGTCCATGATCTTTACATTTGTTATATCTTTATACTTAGTGTTTTCCAAATTTCATTCGTGTTGATTTGAACGGATACCAAAAAACCACTCGCGAAGGCTGATGAAATGATTGTGTAATTAAAATGACAGACTTGTCTTTCCCAGAGGGTAACTAATGCGATGAAATTTTTAAATGTAATTATACTTTACTATTATAATAGTTTATCCTTCTATTTTGTAAGCACGTCGGGTAGGAGGACGAACGGCGTTTTGGTGTAAATGATGTTACTCGAAATAGTTTGACTTATGAGACGTTAAATTGAAGCGGTTGGTTTAACGAACACTTCAGGTCTTCTTTATTGAAAGTGAAATTGTATCGACGCTATTAATGTTTGTTTAATATTGTGGAGAGAACTATATGACAATTGTGACGAAAGAATATAGAATATTATCTTCCGGTACTATTTCGTTGACTCTTTGTTACACGATCAGCTGTCAGGTAGATTCAGTGCCAATGAAGTGTAATTTATTTTTTTTTTTTTTTCCGCTGAATTACAATATACACAAAGAACGGTTTAATTTGATGGCGCTTACTAATTAATCATATATACAGTCACATACAAGTATCAGTTACTTTTGACTTAGTTCTGGTCGGTTGTTCGGAAGTTATTCCCTAAAGAAAACCACCGCTAAATTAATGGTACACGTAAGAGATTCTTCCTGTGATTCCCGAGCTACGTTGATATCTATGTGGAAGTTTAAGAGGGTATATACGCCTTCGAATACTCTGTTCGTTATCGTTTAAAATTACTTATTACGCCACGTACACTTCCCTCGGTCCTAGATGTCTCTAAATAATCTAAGATGTAAGGGACGAAGTAATCGGTTTTAATCGGGTTACAGGATAAGGAAGAGTAAAGATTGAATTTCAGCATTCTAGGACGCTATACATACACGGTTATAGAGACCATTGGAGATACCGGATCGAGCTTTTATAGGGCATTTATGGTTTCCTATTTCCGCAACTAGGGCCTTGGCTCGTTTCACAGATGCACACTGTTATAGTTCTGAAAAACAAGTGGTCTTATGTATAAAAGTAAAGCGGAGCTACCACTGCAATAACGAACGAAAGGCTAACGTGATCAAGCGGTATTAGTTTTTTCAGTGTTAGGTACGAGCATGTCAAGGGTATTCTAGCGAGACCAGCACCCACTAATATGGTATCTATGATGTATGCAAATGTAGAATGCACGTGAATATTTCAGACGGAAATTTATTACACTTCTCTAAGACTTTTGGTGAGTTATTTAAAATTTTTTTTTTTAACTACAGGTAGAAAATGTATATACCCTCTTAATGAGATTTAAAACGCAATAAAAAAAATGTCCAGCTCCCTCGGACTTTGTTGAGGGAATCCTTTAACACTTTCGTATAACGTCTTTTTAAATTCATTTCACAGCCCCGTAAAACTGCATCACGGACATAAGGATAAATTCCTGCACGTAAACGAATGTAGATCAATTCGATCACAATGGTACGCGAAAAGTAGGGATAACGCGCTTCGCCTTTTTAGGTATTTTGTCTCCTATCTCAAAATTCATTTTCCTGCTCTTCTCGCCTTCTTCGTCGCGATCATTCTCTTTAAGACATTACCTGTAATAGGTATATTGCACAAGTTTTGAACCCCTTTCCTGCACTTGAAGGAAAGTAGAGTTATCGCTATTCCTATTCTATTGAATACATCGTAGGACAGGTCTGACAGAATTAACTTGATTAATGGCGTTCCCGATTGAACTGCCAATAAATATCCCTGCTGAAAATAAAAGTTATCGATAATGCTAAAGGATAGCAGGAGCTCGATCAGGAACGCCATTAAATAAGCTCATTACGGGTCACCCACAGTTATCGGTTGATCGATCGTTTCTCTTCGAAGAATTTCGGTGGGACGTTCTCTACGGTTTATTCGTTTGATAGAAAACCTTCGACTAAACGCGCGATTCAGGTGTTCTCGTTTTTGCACTATTTCTACCTCGTTAAGTACTCCCTACTCTTTGTATGAAAAATCGACAATAAATTATAAGTACAGAGATGTGCGAAATTACAGTTATCCCTTACGTTGGGTAAAATGACCAGACCGTTTGTAACAATGGTAAAAGAACGTCTCTCGATCTGAATGCTACAAGGATAAATCACATTATCTTTAATGTCACAACACGAAGACACCGTTATAAATAGTAAATGCGAATAAATATCCCTTCTCTCGCTCTCTTTCTGGAAACACTGCACTCTTCGCCAGATTCGTTCGCTTCTTCCGGAAAAGACAGAAATTCGGATTGACAAAAGTCGTTGGTCGTCCCATTTGTGGGGCTGCGTGGCAAATTAATCGTTCTCTGTTCTTTCTCTTGTACGTATTGGACATTCGTGGTGTTTAATTCGCAAAGAAGTCGCTATAATATACTTGCCCACGTGTCTTGCCTCTTTGAGGGAACAGGAAATGCGTTAAGGATTTTCATCGAGAAAGGATCTACCTTCCTTTGCTTTAGACTCTCTTTCATCATAACGTCTGTAATGGAATAAATCCTTCCAATCCAATGTTTCTCAGGTCCACGTCATTTCTTTTCGTCTAGAAAGTCGATTCGAATTCTGTATGAATTTCCAAACATAACGTTGATCGGATTTGCTAGAGAAAGACCCAACGAAAGCGCATAAATAATTCCCGAAGCAACAGAGGACAGACTTGACGAAGGTGTACCAGATTTTGCAGCATCGCACGTCGTTCTAACTGCCGTATCAAAGAACCTTGAGAAGTACTAAACTCATATTTAATAACCGGCACGTGTGACCTTAGTATTTACAGATTTATTTTACAATCTTTGCGTTCAAACTCTCCGCTAATCGCATACGAGGTAATCGTCAATGGCCAAGCTTTTCGAAAGAGCTCACACGTTGAATTTACCTTTTCTCAATCGCTCGCGAAGTGTCCCCTGTTCGGTGTAATGATATTCAATAGATATGCGTCTAGAGATCTGCTATGCAAATTTTTCTAACGCGTTGCTTTGCCTATAAATCTGTCATCGAATTGGGAGAACGGTTAAGTTAGGTATGTACGATGCCACATGCGGTTCGGAGCATTCGTTAAACTAATAATCGAGGATTGGGATAGCGTTAGGTTTTGGATACGGTATCTCGAGCGCCGCATGCATAAATGTCGCTAGTCAGGGTGGTTAAATATCAACAGAAATATTAGTCGATGCACGTTTCAAGAGGATAAAGAAAGGGTTAGTAGCCTTTGGTTGCATTTACTGATAGATGGTTACAATGTAGAGAATTCATTCCCCGTTTTCGTTTTTACAAAGTACCAAAACGAACCAATAAGAATCGACCAGGCCCGTAATTACGGAGCACGATGCGTGCCATTAACCCTTGGAGCAGAGAGTTCTCGTACGACATAATGTAAAGTAATGTCTGCAAAGATGTATATACGTTTGTCCCGCTCGAAGGGCTAAGAGGGTTCCATTAGGAGAAACAAAGATGCGGTGCGCAAACGTGCCGTTCCGTTTCTACCTCCTCATTAAGTTAAGAATTACATAAGGTCCATCCAGATGATTCAGATCCGTATTGTTAGGCTGATAACACGGATTGACAGTGTAACTGAAATTAGGCTGATGGAAACTCACCGGCTGAGTACTGGCTCTACGTGGCCCGTTTAATTCACGATTGTCCGGGCAGAGGTCCAAGTCCGAACCGCCATTCCTTACGGTGTCATCCTTGAGTAGAAAAATCATCGCATATGTATATCGACTCTCTAGAAACGCAAGACATACGCGTGATAGTAGTACCTGGGTCATTTGTTGCGTCGTAGTGAGAATTCTGGCCAGAGGGCCGCAGCAAACCGGAAGCGTTTCCAGGAGCGTCGGCCTGGAATGCGTTAGCAGCGGCTTCATGTATCGAGTATCGAAGTTACCCCAGATCCTGGCTAGTAGGGCCTTCTCGTTGACTTCCGAGGTTCCACCTCCCGGAAGGGAGCCATCCTGCATAGAATTATACTGTGAACCGTGAATGACACTTTAGTTACGAATTCACTCTAGTTATGCGTCAGCTCTCGGGATTCTATGTCCGAGGGGACTCGCGAAACGAGCCATCCATTCAAACGCTGGAGTTACAAATGGGTAATTTAATTTGCCATCGGTTTCCGAATAATTTTTAATCGATCTATACGGAACGATAACCCCGTAAGCTCCAACGTGACCGGATGTACGAATACGTAGTTCTACGATACTTCCAGGATAAGTATCTCGAACTTGAAATCGATAAAAAGATTCGTGAACTACTTACACTGCGAACACTATTATACGATAATCCTTCTACCTCCTCGTCTACGCCAACCCTAAATCAGAAAATCAATTGCAATCGGTGCGACGCATCGGATGGGTTATTAACTTACGACGTACTTACGGGATGTTCAACCAACTCAACATTTGAGTAGTTGCCCCGCCTTGGAAAATCACAGTCAATATAACGATCAGACTGGTCGTCGTGAGCATAGCTTGACGAGCCACTGACACCGTATTCCTAATAGCCAAGGCGAAGCTCATAGCTCCCCTTAAACCAGCGAAAAAGAGCATGTGCTGATAGTTCCATGAGATTTTTGGTTTACGAGCCAAGTTCAACAAAAACGACAGAGGATAGACATTGGCTGCACGACCCAATAAGGCACAGAACTATTATTTCATCGTTAAGGAAATTTAAAAAAATAGTTTCGCTGGTAGTCAACGCGTTTGCGAGGTTCATACCACTCTGCAATTTAACGAAGGATACAAATCCTGCGAAGATGAATCCAGGATCGAAATGGTGCTTTGGAAACGTGAACATCGACACGCCGATGTAACTGAATATGAAATTTTCGGCTAAGAAATTCAATAGCTCGAATAGTTGCTTCGTCCTTTGCCGAGAATCAGGACTCAAATTGTTGTACGTATAGTGCGCCTGGCATATTCCACAGAAGAGTACAGCGACAACACCTGTAAGAAATAAAAAAAATATACCCTGCCATATGAGGACGTCATCGATATCGGGGTATAGAATCAAGGTACTGCGACATCATGTACCGGTCAGATCGGAAGCTTCTGCAATCAAGAAGGTGCTGTAAGACATAAGGACGAAGAGTGCCGATTCCAGCAGAGGAAAATCTCTGACTCTCGTGAATTTGGTTAAAAGAGCGGTAATGCAGCCCATGGTGGCACCGATGAACAACGATAAGCTAAAGATACCAACAAAGTCGCCAAGGGCTTGGAAGAAAGCTACGGTCTCGAAGCCACCGGAACCAGACTGGTAGCGTTCCGCGTAATTCTGTATAGATCTGAAATTACATGAAAAAGTTAAAAAAGGAAATAATGGATAACAGCACGAAAAAACTTGAATCGAGTCAATTTACCCGCTGAGGACAATGGCAACGGCATCGTTCAGGACACTTTCGCCAAACACCAATGCGTACAGATTCACGTCGACGTGTAAATCATTGAAAATTGAAATGATAGTTAGAGGGTCCGTTGGCGAAATCAAGGCTCCGAAATACAGCGTATCCAAAAATGTGAAGGACGTGGACAAATGTGGCAGTAGTTGCATGAACGCATACATCAGAGCTCTGGAAAAGAGTAAAGCCGATGAGAAATATTTCGGATTTAAACAACGGGGAGATCTTAACATTCGTGTTCTGCTCTTCGAATATCTTACCCGATCACGAAGGATGATATCGTGGTTCCTATGAGCGCATAAGTTAAAATCGCGCCCAAATTTCTGAAGAAATATCTCTGAAATTAATACATCTACTTGAGTAATTTGTTTTCGAGAAAGATGGCAAGAATGTAGGAACCCTTACCCTCTTTAGGCTATATCCGGCGTGGAATATGATCGGTGGCAATATGATGTTGAAAAATATTTCCGGGTCGAAGGTTGCCTGCAATTAAATAATCAGCGCGTTAAATGCCGCCTTTACCATTATCTCTTTTCTCGAGCGAGCGTCGGTCATTACTATTCGATAGCGTAATTGCTGCTTATTGCATTTTGGAAACCCGATTGCGTGTAAAAATATTCTCAATGTAGAAAAATCGCTGAGGTCGCGATTCGTTACAATCCAGCCACTACTGTAGCGCTTCCTTTATTTAATGACCAGCATAAAGCATAAAGCGAACGCATGAAAAACAGATGAGATACTAACAATGCTCCCCGGTACCTTCTGATCTATTTCATTCTCCTGCTTATAGATCTCCCCGCGAAACGAATAGGAGGTTTTATTTTGAACAACATTATCGCTCTTGTCTTCGGAAAATCGGAGCCACAATGTGTCCGGTGTTACCGACTGGTTGTTGGACTTGCTGTCGTCATCGGGTACGACGGGCACGTGGATGATCGCTCCAATAATTAATCCTGGAAAAATGATACAGGTATTGGGACAAGTGTAAAATATTATTTAACGTTCTAAATCGTTGAGCGAAAATTCCGAGCTCGATTCTCTTTGGAAAAATACTTTATTCGCAGAACCGGTCGAGCAATTACACGTAATCTTAATCTCCCGCTGCAAAACAGCGATGGAGAACCTGTCGACGCGGTTGCATTAACTCCCCTTAGACAATAAGCGTATTATTATTGACGAAATGCTCCTATCGAGAAACTCGGTAGAGTCTCGTGCCAAGTGCACTTTGGAGAACGTTGCAACCAATTTTCTTCTGACGCATTTGGATGCGTAAGGACGGATTGAGATAAAGGGGAACGCAAATAAAAATTTATCTCCCTTTGTTTCTTAAACCGCGTAAACGAAGCGCGATGGAACTCGCAGTCGTTTCCCATTCCAAGGCCTCTTACGTGATATGAATGAAAATAGCAAGGCCGGGAATAATAAGCCATGTAATTAAATGTCATTTATCAGCCAGGACTAGAAAAGTTACGTAAAATCGGAATCGTTGATCGAACATTTAACCGGTTTGGCGCCGATTTTTAAATCGTCCGCGCGCAAGCTGCGACAGTCACGAGGTCGTGCCGTATATCGAGCGTCGATGTTTGTTTCGAGGAATGCTCGGTCCATTTATAAATTACATCCAAGTCATCTTCTGTAGGGTTAAGGTGCGCGAGGATGAAAGGTAGGTTAGGTCGCCAAATAGAGCCCAAAGGTTGAGCAGGCTGGAACAGGCTACGGAGGGCCTGCAAAAGGGTGCGGGTGTTCTTACGTAAACGGAATTACAATTGCTCCATTCGCGGCGCATTTAACTCGAATCGCAATAACCTGAGCAATTTTAACGAGTGTCGTCACCGAAGCGAAAGAATTGCGTCTCGATGCTTAGATCGCAAGATCTTACGTCGAGTAATTCGAAGCCGAAGTCGGGAGAGCGCCGAACTGTCAGTTTGACGGTTAAGCGTAGCAGACGACTCACCGTAGATGACGGCTAGGCCAGTTTCGTGGACGAATCTCAAACGGCGATGCTTAAAAGTCCATATCGTCAAAACAGTCAATATTAACAAAAAGGTGTAGAGGAGGAGATTGCGGCTATCGAGGCGATGCAGCAACTGCGCCTTCGCGTCGAGCTCGATGTCCGTCTTAGCGGCCGCACTGAGATTAACGAGAGCGGCGCATGAAATCCCGAGTAAGACGATTCGCGGACATACTCCCGCGACCATGTTGGCTCGAAAAGTGTCATCTCCGGAGATCGTAGACCTTAGATTCGGATTTTACCAGGGAACAGAGAGGGTCCGTTTCTCGTGTTTCCCAGCTATCGCGACACGTTGTCGCCTAGCGAGAGGACACTGAAACCGTTCCATGCTTCCCTCTGAAACGAGAGCGATGCAGTTTGCGCAGTCGGTAAAATACGTTGTATCAATATACATGGTCTGCTTCTCGCGGCTCTCCTGTCAGCTACCACCCTATCAACATGCTCAACAGGTCTCTGTCGATTTAATACTGTGGCGATTAGTCGGGAAAGGAAGAATCGTGTCATGCAAAAATGATTTTATTTCACTTAACGTTTCGGATCGAGCACAGCAACGAAGCACTTTGTAGACGACGTAATGGTTTAACATCCTAACGATCGATTCTTCCAAAAATATAGCGTTCAACGAAATATCCATAAAAATGGATTATCTCAGCTCTGAACTGATGAAGGATCTCGTTTTAGAGGTTAAGAATGACACCAAGAACAAGTGAGTCTCCGATGAAATCTAAGTTTTTAGTCTGATTTTATTTATTTCGGTAATGATAATGAAATTGTTTGTGCAAGAACTAAGGAAGCTGGGAGGTGCGAAAATGGAAGTCGGCCAACTACTTCGCTTAAAGTTGAAATGCAGATACTAAGGATATCGGGGGAATCTGAGAAACAGCTGTATGACACGCTGAGAAATATTTATGGATCTGTAAGTTCCCTTGTTCAACGGTTGAGATAATGGCGGTGACATAATGATGAATAAATGTAAATTTGTAACAGGACTTTCGGTTATGCGATGCTTCAGAATTTAAAGAGAAACGTTCAAATCTGGGAAAGCAGTATTGGATGCAAAGAGGTAACCTTGTGATAAAAGGTGTTGTCGATTATTCGACTAGAGACACTACACCTAAAACACAGGAGCAAATAACAAGGCAGTTCGCGACGTCGAAGTTGGAAAGTTATAGGTTTTTATTAAGTTCTTGTTTAAAAATTGATCGTGAGTTAAATATTAATACCAAGTAGGGTTTATTCATAATTTGATATACCATTGTCTCAACAGTTTCCATTCCTCGCATTGTTCCGAAGCATTGGCACACACGGATGGCGATTTGGGAAAGGCCTTGGAAATTCTGTTTCGTAAATACTATGAAATTGATGATCTACCAAAAATGAACTTAAACGATACAGAACTCAATGATTTAATGGAAAAGAGGGCCGATGAGAAACTGGCTCTAGAATCGATTTACGGTGATGCTTTCATAGAGAAGATTAAAAATCAAATTTGGTTGATTAAATTAAAGCTAGAGTATTTATTGCACAAAAGTCAAAGTAATGAAAAGAAGAAACCAAAGAAAGATAACAAGGAAATATGTAGATTATTTGTACAAGGTAAATGTAGATTCGGAGCAAAATGTAAATTTCTCCATCGTCAACCAGAATCGGAGCCAAAAACACAAGAAGTGAAGGACGATCCATATTTCACATTGGAAATTAGATTCCCTGAGGGTACGTACAACTAAAACGTAATTTTCCAGGAAGGGAGTAATCGAAAAAACATTGACCTTAATATTTTTTTAGGCTGCATGTACCCTTATGAACCACCATTTATTTATTTCTATAAAAATGAAATGGCGTGTCCAAAGATAGAATATCTGAGAATTGTTAGAAGATTACACAATGAGGTAATAGAACACAGTGTGGATGGTACCCCTTCCTTATTTTCTGTAATTTCTCTGTTGGAGAACGAGAGTGAAATGAAATCATATCTTAGTGAAAGTAAAGAGGAATTCTTAGATAAGGATGATCCACTTTTTCCTATACTTTCGAACAACGATGCAACCTGTGTTACCACACATTATGAAAAGAGTTCTACTGGTCGACACCGAGATCAAATACCTTGGGAAGATATAGTTAATCAAGATGATGAAATTCGGACTAAATTTATGGAAAAGCAAAAAAGTACAAGATATAAAAAAATGAAGGAAGCTAGGAGGAACTTGCCAGCATGGTCAAAAATGAACGAAATTATCGAAATCATATATGCAAATCAGGTCACCGTTATTTCAGGTGAAACAGGTTGCGGCAAAAGTACTCAGGTAGTGTTCTGACAAATTTTCTTATTTCTTCAAATACTGTGTTTTCCAATAAGCGATTGCAACATTCCAAGATATATGAATTTGCTCGAAAACACCAAATCGTAAGAACGGAGAAAGATGATTCGATGTAATTGTAATGCAAAATAGGTTCCTCAGTTCCTCCTGGATGATTGGATTGTAAACAGAACCGACAAAGGTAAAGAGCATGCGGAAATCATTTGTACGCAGCCTCGTAGGATAAGTGCTATAGCAGTAGCTGAACGGGTAGCGGCAGAAAGAGACGAACGCGTAGGTCATACAGTCGGATATCAAATACGCTTGGAGAGTAAATTATCTTCGTGGACCAGATTAACATTTTGTACAACAGGAATTCTATTACAACGTCTATGCAGCGATTCCGAGTTGCGCAACGTGACTCATGTCATAGTGGACGAAGTGCATGAACGAAGTGCGGAAAGGTGAATTATTTCTTACATTCCATTTTTGTCAATCTTAAATAGAATATCTTGAATCTCGTAAAGCCTGTGAGTAATATAATCCCATTCTTCGATCTTTATTGTTTCCTTGTATTTCTGTCCATAGCGATTTTCTGTTAATGCTATTGAAGCAATTACGAAGAAAAAGACCGGACCTAAAAATAATTTTAATGAGTGCCACTCTGAAGAGCGATACGTTCTCGTCCTACTTCGGGGAAATCCCTGTTCTAGATATTCCCGGCAGGACGTTTCCGGTTGAGCAAATCTTCCTGGAAGATATCCTTGATCGAGCAGATTATATACTCGAAGAGAACTCCAGGTTCGCAAGAAGAGTTCGGGAGGGATCCGAACAACTCGAGATCGAGTTGGAAGCTGCAGATGTCGAGGCTGCATCCAATGATCCTCCAAGAGACAATATTCTTGATGAAAATTTGACACTTGCTCAAACTCTTGGAAGATATCAGGGTCATGCTAAGCAAACTTATAAAAACCTGTATCTTATGAATCATGAGAAAATTAATTATGAACTGTTGGAGAAAGTATTGGAATGGATCGTTGACGGCGAACACGATCACCCGAGGGCGGGATCCATTTTGGTAAGCACATTTTCTCTTTGACGAAATTGACGTCTAACTACTGGTTTCGTTTGCGGCTAATTAGTTTTCCTATTTGATTTTTCTTTTTTCAGGTATTCCTACCTGGCTCGGCAGAAATCATTGCGATGAGGAATCTTCTTAATGAGAGTAAAATATTTTGTCAAAGGACCGGCAGGTTTACCGTGATTCCTCTACACTCGATGCTCTCTAGCGAAGAACAGAGTTTAGTCTTCAGAAAACCTAAGGAGGGAATGCGGAAAGTGGTTCTTAGTACAAACATAGCCGAAACTTCGGTAACGATAGATGATTGCGTATTTGTAGTGGACACAGGGAAGATGAAAGAGACGAGATTTAATTCCAACCAGAATATGGAAAGTTTAGAAACTTGTTGGGTCTCGCGAGCCAATGCTCTGCAAAGGAAGGGTCGAGCTGGTCGTGTTATGCCGGGAGTCTGCATACACCTTTACACGTCTCATAGGTACACAACTTCTTTTTGATTGACGTTACTTGCCGAAGCACTGCTGTAGGTAGGTACGTGCAGAGGATATCAGCAAGATTTCTGACGACCAATTATTTCAGATTTAAACATCATTTCCTGGGCCAACCTGTTCCTGAAATACTGAGAATATCCCTGGAACCATTGCTGCTACGCATTCAAATTTTGTTAAAAGGAAAAGACGTTGACTTTCATGAAACTTTAGGTAGATAGTTAAAGAAAACGCAGAAGAAAGAATTTGTAAAAATACTGATATGTTTTTCATTTTGTTCGATTTAGGTAATATGGTGGAACCACCATCGAGAGAAAGTATCTCCGATGCATTAAAGCGATTACAAGATGTCGGAGCATTTGACTCCGATTACAGATTGACACCATTGGGCCACCACCTAGCCGCATTGCCTGTCGATGTCCGAATTGGAAAATTAATACTGTATGGTGCTATTTTTCAATGTGTAGACAGTGCGCTGACCATAGCAGCTTGTTTGTCTCAAAAAAGCCCGTTCGTTGCGCCTTTCGATAAAAAGACTGCCGTAGATGCAAAAAAAAAGGAATTTTCTACTGCTAATTCGGATCAATTAACAATATTAAAAGCGTACAAGGTGTGATTCCCTTCATCAATTTTAATTGAAATTTTTTGTCATGAAATACATAAATCATTTTTTAATTTGTTACAGAAATGGTTAGAAGCTTGTTCGCGCAGTTTTTCTGCCGGCCAAGCATTCGCCAACGAAAATTATTTGTCTGTAAGAATATTGCAAATGTTGGCCGATATAAAGCACCAATTTTTGAACTTATTAAATTCAATCGGCTTTGTCCCTGTGAATGGGACAAGGCGACAAATGGGAGTAGACAAAGTGCTAGAGATGACTGGATATGAATTAAATGCAAACAACGAAAATTATAAATTATTGCAAGGCTTACTGTGTGCAGCGTTGTATCCTAACGTTGTCAAAGTACTCACACCGGAAAAATCGTTTCAAGTGCAATGTGCCGGAGCCATTCCAAGGCAACCTGGTCCCGAGGAATTAAAATTTAAAACCAAACAGGATGGTTACGTAAACATCCATCCGTCTTCTGTTAATTTTACTGTAGGCCACTTCACGAGCCCTTACTTAGTCTTTCAAGAGAAAATTAAAACCAGTAAAATCTTCATTAGAGACATCTCTATGGTACCGATACTGCCGATGGTCTTATTCTCTGCATATGGTATCGACATAGAACTGCACAGCGGAACCTTCATTTTATCTTTGGAGGATGGATGGATTATGTTTGGAGTAGAATCCCATAGAGTAAGATATATAAAATATCAACTTTTCATATATGATTTTGATTTACCATCGATACCTGCACGATCAAATTTTTTCTAGGTTGCTCAACTTTTGCAGCATATGAGGATTGAACTAGTTAAATTATTGGAATTAAAGATGCAGGATCCTCTGTTGAATCTGCTTAACCATAAGCAGGGTAAAAGAATTATCAATACTATTGTAAGTATTGTAACGAGAGACTGAAAGGCAAGTTCAGGATCAAGGTTTGAGAATATTAACATAGCCTGGAATGTTTCCAGTCAAAGTTAAAAATACATATATGTACAGTACCACGATAACATAAGTAGATATAATTATGAAATTCAATGCTGAGAAAATATATGGAGTTGAATAATAGCGAAGAGATAGTTAATAAATATATTTTTATTTCTGCACTAATGCTGTTTACTTTAGTGAATTTTATTTAATGATACAATATCTTCACAGAGAAGAAAGTGTCAGCATTGATAAATTTAAATCGAAGACAAAATTGGTTACACTAACTATATACAACTGTTTTAATACTGGTATGCTAAGATTGGTGTACAATGACATTTTTCATGAAACGCAATTCGAGGGCCGATATTACGCACAAGTGCTGATCGAATCTGCTGATCGCGCAATTTAAACGCTTACAATATATGCCGCGTAGGTCGAGAAGAGAAAGAAAAAGTTAACGCGGTTGCGCCATCTGAAGGCGTTGACCTAACCTCACATTTGCACATGCTAGCAGACAGTATCGTCTGCTTGCGACTGCGAGGATCGTAACTGTGCCGCGTTCGAAGACTTTCGAAAGTTCACAAAGAAGTTTGACAAAAGCTCAATTGTGCTCAAAAGTTGTGTGGGGAGGAGCAATTTATTCCGATCGACGTCAAGGTTGAACTTGTCAATTTATAAATTATAACCACTGTACCGAGAGCCAGTCGAAATTGTGAACATCTCCAAGGAGGGCACTTTATCCTCGATAAGTATCGTTACGTGGAGTTCTAAATATATAAAGGTAGATATAACCGCAAGGAAGAGGAAAAATTAGAACACCCGGTTTCTTGAATGACAGGTCTTTATTTATTTTATTGAAACGTTTTTTGACAAAATTGTATATTTGGCATTTTTATACAGATTGCGAAATGACGCTGTATTCATGCTGAGGAAAAAATGATCAATATCTTCGAAGACATGGGTTGGAAAGGGATTTCTCTGATTTTGTGCACCTTTGGCTTCTTCAAAGAGTTCAGACCTTCGGAGCCATTTATTACGGATTACCTCACTGGATCATGGAAGAATTTTACACGCTCTGAAGTGAGTTTTGGTATTTTGTTCCATTTTAAATTGACATTACCTTCACCTTGTGAGTTCAACGGTTGTTACATAAATATCAAGGATAGTACACAAAAAATAATGTGGCAGAGGGTAACAGGTTTTTAGGTATTCGAGGAAGTTTTTATTGAATCCATTTTGTTAGCAAAATGCTTTATATTATGTCATTCCTATATAGTGTATTCAAGTGGTTGTAAATATATTGATTTAGATTAATGCAATTTTAACATGAAAGTTTTTATGTTTTTAATTGTTTATGGAAGCTTTTGTAAATTTCCAGGTGAATCAGGAGATTTTTCCAGTTAGCACGTATGCTTACTTTGCGATGCTGATTCTTGTATTTTTGATTACGGATTTTTTAAGATATAAGCCAGTGATAGTGCTATGTGGGCTTTCTGGAACTGCGACATACTGTTTGATAATTTTAAGCAAGACTGTACTAGAGATGCAAATAGTGGAAGTTCTTTACGGTTTCTTCTTATCCTCCGAGGTGGCATATTATACATACGTGTATGCAAAAGTTGATAAAAAACATTATCAAGAAGTTACTGGTCACACAAGGGCAGCATTCCTCCTTGGTCGTTGTGCAGCTGGCCTTGTGGCCCAATTAACGACATCTTTTAATCTATTAGATTATCATCACTTAAATTTTATCACCTTATCAGGTAATCTTTCATTCAGTTATTTTTAAATCGACTCCATTTCTTTTTTCAATCAATTTAATGATTATATGTGTCGTAATATTAATTGACACTTATTGTATTTATTACAGCTTTGATATTTGCATCGTTTTGGGCCTTTTTTTTACCTAGTGTTAAAGAGTCGATATATTTTCATAGGCCAGTCGGTAATCGCAACGATAGTACAACATTTTCAATAAACGACAGCTGCGAATCTTCGGTTACACAGTCGCCTATATCGGAGTCAAGCCTCTACTTGCAAAATAACACTAATAATCAAAAGAGATCTTCCTTTACTTTGAAATTGAGAAGAGCATATTTTTTGTTATGGAAGGACTTTTTAAAGGCCTACTCAAATGTTCACGTTGTGAAGTGGTCACTCTGGTGGGCGTTTGCTACTTGTGGATATTTGCAAGTAATTAACTATATTCAGTTACTATGGCAGGAGATTGTTCAGAAGGATCAGAATATTTTTAACGGAGGTGTGGAAGCTGCATATACAATAATAGGTAAATATGCGTGCCGAAGGAATAGGGGAACATATAGAGCCAAGAAAAAGTACTGAGTTAATCACGTAGGATTCTTGTGTTTTGGTTATACAAGTATCCTTGTAACATGTGTCCAGCATTAACTCGGACCGAATGAAGCGAACCAACTGGTGGCAAGTCTTCAAAGATGTACCAAATTATAGCACGATAAACATTATCAAATGGCTCTAACTGCTCCCAGGCTAATTGCTAAAACATTTCCTAGCGTCAATTAAGAATATTAATTTATGTGATTTTTAAATGTAAGAAAAACTAATGAAATATTCAAACAGGTGCAATTACGGTATTTGGAGTTGGAAAGTTACGTTTGAATTGGGATCTCGTAGGTGAAGCCACCCTGTCAATATTTTCATTCATAGAAGGAATCTTGCTGTTATTAGCTGCTCGTACTGGCAACATTTGGCTTTCTTATGCAGTTTACGTAACATTTGGAGTGATTTATCATACTATCGTAACCGTTGCAAGGTAAATTCTTATTTGAATATATGATTGGCATTCATTTCAAATATATGCAATTCTTGCAGTTTCGAAGTCGCCAAGAGATTATCCGAAGACAGTTATAGTTTAATATTTGGCCTAAATACGCTGTTGGCTTTGCTGCTACAAACGATTTTAACGAGTGCTGTAGTCAGTGAATATACTTTCGGCCCATCAATTAGATCACAGGTAAGATTCTGCTTATCTATGAAGGATAATGATCGATAATCCATTACCGTGATTTCTTTTTCCAGTTCATCGTGTATAGCACCTACTTTCTGGCGCTAGGGATCATTTTCAACATCATGGCTGTTTACACGATCTTGAGATACTGCAGGTCTGGCAAGGACATTAAATTCTGGCTTAACGAAACCGAAGTGCTTTCACCAACGCAGTACGAAAGCGGCACAAGGGCGTCGTAAGGCGAAAATCCTCGTCAGTGTGTCGAGAATTTCGACCGGTCGCGAACAACTACGTATTCTAACGGCATTGGTTTTTTTTTGTCCTTCGAAACCGCTTGGTACAGAAGGTACTGATATTTAGCACTGGGTTACACGGGTAGATAGTTATATAAGTAGTAACTTTTCGAATATTTATTTAACGCGGCATGTCTTTCATTGTATTACACGAGATACGTAAAATTATCACCTTAATTTTCGTTTAGATTTTTTTTATTCTATCTGATGGTGCCATATTTTTAACGATAAGGTGATAATTATAGGTGCCTCACTTTTTTGATAGATGTCTATTTTCAACCAGCACAGTATTGTTATTCCAGAGGTTTGAAATCGCGCGAGAGAATAGACAATTTCCATTCGGATTTAAGGGTTGTATGTTGAAGCGATGCATATCGTGTGCCACGGTTTTAACGTTTTTATCTGTTTGAGATTAAATGTTTTTTATATAGATTTTTTTTTTTAAGCGATCGCACGAAACGGAGATCTTTGTGTAATAAAATGTTATGATATTAGATAAACTCCTTCCAAAGGGAAGTCTGGTGCTTCCAATGAATACATACTGTACATATTATTATTCTTCGAAAAGAAGCGGCAAATACATAGGAGTATCCGTTACATAGTATCGAATTACTTCCATTATAGGATTCGAGGAAGGGTCTTCACTGGCAAATTGTTGAAAGGAAGGTGGCGCGAATTCCGAGTTTGAAAATTAATGGCGCTAGAAAAGGAAAAGGAATATGAATGAGGGACGGCTAACGTCACAGTCATTCCGACCGTATTCCGAATGTATAACGTTAGAGCAAAGAGATTCGAAGTGGTATTCATACCGATACACGTGAAACAGCACTCCACGACCAGTCTCCGTAATCAGGGATTTTCCAGGCCGGCCTTGTATGCTCACGGAAATATCTCGGTTACGCACAACCTATGGATCTTTAGTCGCCATTCTTCTTCGGCGTTTATTCGGCTCGTAAAAAGAATACGAGTCGTGTTCACGCACACGCGATACGCATGATAAACTGGCATGCCTAAGCCGGGAGGAGAGACGCAACTTTCCGTTTAGTCACGTAAATCTAAGATCGCCCGATAAAGCGATTTAAGGCGTTTTCAAGGTGATTCTTTCCGGTCGACTCGATACCTCGATTAATTCCCGCTCACGATCTCGAAGACAATCAATTCGAAGAGGCGGGAGACATTTCCAGATTTTGAATCGCAACGGCGCGTATCGTGGATGCAAGAGGCCGTCAGCCAGTTCACGGCCACCGATAAGTGCGACCGATTATTTCCCCGACAGTGAACTTCGCCTGTTCTCGAAAAAGTTATTTACCATTATGCCCGGAGTACGAATATCGGTATGCAAAAATCTAGGAGCACGCGGTGCCCATCGAAATGAATCAAAACTACCGTTTTCTGTAAGGACGAGCCTTTGGTCGAATTTATTATTCCTAATACTCTGTACGGCCCAACTTGATGATAAAATATTAGTTTCAGGCGCTGCGCATTCGGCGCATCCGTTTCCTGGGGCCAACGGAAGCGGAAAGAACGCGGGAGTGCAGGTCGAGTCCGGGAAATCCCGAAGGCGGCATCGAACCACTCTCGGCTCCGGAGGGAACGCGCTCGTGCCATCTCGAGACCGGGTACCGGCTCGGTCGACTCGGATGCCGACCTTGACCCAGCTGCTGAAGTCCGTCTCGCGGTAGCGCCTTTTCTCTCTCGCTCTCGCCGACCGGCAATCGGTATCTCATCCTCCCTCTTTCCTTAGAAGCGCGCAACCGAGAAGGAAAGACAACGCGAACGAGGGAAAGGACGACTCTTTCCTCCGGCAGCCGCAATTGTCGAAAAGGAGCGCAAAGGAGTGGGAAGAGCGACGGAGAGGGACGACGGCCGACTCCTTCCCCGGGCAGAGCCAATTGCCGGCGCTTTTGGAGAAGGAGCTAAGAAGTGGGGGGCAGGTACTGTGGCTTCTTTCTCGAGCTCGCGAGGGCCGGCGTGCATTCGACTCGATTACGACCCACGGGAGAGGAATTGCGAGTGACCGGTCGACTCCGTTCGGTTCCTCCATACACCGCGAGGTACACCTGGTTCTTCCGAGCGCACCGAGGATTCTCACCTGGAACGCCCAAGCCGCTCCCCTGATAAGTGAGTCACCGTCCGAAATAACGTACACAACCTCGATGGAAAGTCATTTCGCCGGGATTGTTGACAACGACTAGTGATTAAAGAGGAATGTCAAAGGGAAACGTCGACGGGACCGGCGATGACTCATCGCGTGCAATTGATCGCGCATGGAAACGTTCGATCGAACGACTGTTGTCGTTGCAGTTGCGACATTTCGCGCGAGAGGCATTGTTTCGATTTACGCCAAGTGATTTTGTTACGTTGCGCCCTCGTAACGACGCGCCGATCGCGGAGCCGTCCGACGAGCTCGGGGAAAGCAAGCGCCGAAAACTTTCTGCGCGGGTGCGATAGCGATACCGCGCTGGAATACATTTCCCTTGGTCGCAATAATAACGATCGTGCGCTTGGAATAAAATTTGCGGACAATCGCAATTAACGTTTCCGTTCCACGATGACTTCTCGCGTTCGAAGGCTGATGCGTGGCATCGATTGCGGCACGCGGCAATTATGCTGCAAAGCTAATTACTTCCGACGTCCTTACTCGTCGCGAGCGTGAAGGTCCGCTAATTCCAATGTCTTTGCCCTAGATTTTTATCGGCGATTAAGCGGACGAGCGTATTCATTATTCCAACGCGTTAGAGTCGGTCCTCCCGTTTACCGTCATAGTTTCTGTCTCGAGTGGAACGAGCCGATTAAAAAATCGTAATGTCGACTCCAGGGAAAATCCGGCGAGGACTCTCGAAAACGACCTTTTGCGCGCGTCATCCGGTAATTCGAGAGAGGAAAGTCGATACACCGTGGTGACGCCGAGGTGGCTGCTTTCACTTGTCGTTTCCTTGGGTCGGCGCCTTCTTTCCGGGCTCTCCGTTACCGTTTCTTTGCCGGTAGACGCTTCCGGTTCGCTTACGAAATATTTCGACCGGCAGCGCACCTTCGAGGTGCTTTTTTTTTTTTTTTTTTTAATTAAGATGGAAACTGCAGATTGAACATCCGAAAAGCACCGCGTCATGCGTGGTACTCGGCACGTAGTCCCGGCGACACTTGCAAAATTCATTAAAGAAAGTAAATGACAAGGTGAATCGATAAGCAATTTCTCTCATGTTTTCGATGTAATCGCACGTGAAATACCGGTTCCTCGACCAGTCGTTCGAATTGGCTAAGTGAATTGTCAACCACTTCACATGACAAGACCAGGTCGCGCTTTACGGTCGTTCTTTAGCAAGCGGAATATATTACGCGAAGGACACCATCATCCGAACGTCTTGCGAAATGCAACCGTGCCCTCGTTTTGTCCCGTGCCATCTGGTCTGCTTTCTCCGAGGTATAAAGCAAAACGAGCGAGCAAGAATAATGCACGATTTTGCAATTTTTATCAAGGGTTTGTTTAGCTAACGTGCCTTCTTTTCAGAAAATGCTGTTTACGAGTTGGCTGGTGGCGTTCGCCAGTTTTCTGGCTTTGACGCAGTCCCAATGTCTGACGGGGAACGACAGTCCATCGATGATGAACCCAGAAGCCTTCCAGCTTTTGACTCATGGTCGCTTCAGATTCGCTGTTTCGGCCCTGGCGAAGATGGCAGAGATCGAGCAGAATGAGAACGTCTTCTTCAGCCCGTACAGCTTGCACGAGGCTCTTACGCTCGCATATTTCGGGGCATTGGGGAAAACGGAGAAAGCCCTCCAGCAAGCTCTCTTCATCCCGGAACACTTGTCCAAAGTGGACGTCCAGAGGTTCTACGCATTGGAGAACTCCTTGAAACGCCAACCAGAGGTATACCTTCGATACCTGCGTAAGAGAATAGTGACCCGCTTCGTAGAAAGTTACCGGGAATATATCGGAATTTTTTCTCCACCAGGTTAACGAGTCCTCTACGTACGAACTAACCACCGCAACGAGAATGTACGTGCAGAAGACGAAGAAGCTCAGGGAGTGCATGGTCAATCTGTTCGGCGAGGAACTGCATATGGCCGATTTCAAGAGCGATCCTGAAGGGGTTCGCAACGGTATCAATGAATGGGTACAGAACGTTACCAAGGGCCATATCAAGGACCTCATCCCCGACGGTGGGATTACCGAGGACTCCGATCTCGTTCTGGCGAATGCGATCTACTTCAAGGCACCATGGCAGAGCCGTTTCGACCCGGCGAACTCGAAAAAGGACATCTTCTACGCCTCGGGATCTCGTAACATTTTCACCACCTTCATGAAGCAGAAGGCTGGTTTCCGACACGGTAAATATCTGGAAATAAATCCCATACCGGTTACACGGTTGCAGCTACCGTTTCGGTAGGGTCGTAACCAATAACTCGCAGTTAGTCCAATCACACGTAAAATGTTTTCAGCTAACTCTGAGACCTTGCGAGTGCATATTCTGGAGCTTCCATACTCCAGGGAGAACGTGTCGATGTTCGTTATGCTGCCGCCCTTCGCCCACACGAGAGCAACGGAGACCAGTGGCGATCAGAACCAAGGTGTCGGCCAGGTTGAGGACGGAATTTTAACCATCGCGAAACACCTGACGCAGACGCAGCAGGACGTCGAAAATTTCATGGAACTCCTCGATGACTTGTCATCACCCAGAGAAGTGGAAGTGGCGATTCCGCGCTTCACAGTTGACAAGGAGATCCCAGTTGACAGTCTCCTTCAGGGTTTAGGCGCTGGAGAGGTCATGAACCCGAGTACTTCGGACCTTCGTGGTTTCCTCCAGGATGGAGAGCAAAGTTTGCACCTTGGCAGCGCGGTTCATCGAGCCCGGGTCGAAGTAAGCGAAGAAGGGACCACGGCTACCGCTGCCACCGCAATCTTCAGCTTCCGATCCAGCAGACCGATCGAGCCCGTAGTCTTCAAAGCCAATCATCCCTTCCTGTACTTTATTTACGACAAGGGATCTCGCAACATACTCTTCAGCGGCATCTTCCGTACTCCTCCAGTCGCGGTGTCATAATCGAGGGCAACGCCTGAGGCCTTCGTGGTCTCCGTTAAGATATTGTAGATCTCCGATTTAAGGTCTAGCAACGGTTTTTGATAGCTGGTGGTAGAAACCCAAAGATTTCATTGGCAACTACGGATTGGTTTTGGAGGTTATTCCCATTACGCCGCTTCGGAACTGCACAGTCTCGGAGTGTACCCTATCACTCATTTGACCATGGTAATTTAGTGGTTCGTTACCTATTTTTTTTTTTACCTACTTCCCTTCCAATTGGTGGCTCTATCAGCCTTGTACGTTTAAAGGTATTTAGATATTATGTTACACACAACACCCGCATCAATTTACATGTTTACATCTAAATACTTTTAAAGCCTGAGCATCAGGTTCAATGATAGAATGAGAGTACGTATTTATTTTATACCGAGATATGAAGTATATAAAGGATTTACCTTTGAAGTTGTAAATATATTTGCCTTAGTTTCCTTAATCGTAACCCATCCCACGTAAGTCTTCCTTAACCCACGCAACCCCCTAGTAAGTAAAAAAAGTGAGATTTTCTGCACTGATCATTTATTAAAAAGCAATCGTATTAAATTGTAAATACATACTCAATAAACTGTTACTGTCTGGCACCATTTTTTATGTAAATTCGTTTTTGCTTTCAGCCATATAATGCAAGGATCTTGAAGAAGTACTCTACCTGTAAATGGGGAAGAAATAATTATACCTCAGTAAGTATGGAGATGAAGAATTATATTAATGTGCATTAATTATCGATGGTCTCTTACTTCGAGTAAACCATCTTCGGGTAGATCCGAACAATGCACGGCATTCTGGACTTTAGATTTTCCATACTTTGCGCGGAGTGATTGTGGCCTTAGTTGTTTTGCAATTTCCTGTGCAAGAGAAACGATGATTATCAAAATCCAAAAATTAAGAATTTATGAAAATATAGTGCGATTAAAAAATCTTACAGCATCCATTGGGCCGCACAGTTGCCGAAATTCTATAGGAACATCAACACTTTGGTCTTTATGAGTTATTTCCATGGCTATACATGGCCCTGACTGCAGTTCAGCTACCATAGCCTAAAAGTCATAAAAATATTTACGAGATCCATAAAGGATCTATCATTAAGAAAATAATATTAATTACTCCATAGTCGGGCAAAACTCCTTTGTAGACCTCTAAGAATTCTTCCGCATTGGTTGGATCCACATAGAACTGTTGAAGGGCGGATATCTTGAATCCAGCTTTCTGGATGTCTTCGATTATATCACCTGAAGTTTCAAGAAAAGTTTATGTTCACTATTTTTAATCATAAAAATTAATTATGCAACAATACTCAACGTACCAATGTGCCCTGCTTGCACGGCGTGAGGTTTTATAACACAGCACGTACACTTCTGCAATGTGACCGTATCTTGAGGTCCTTGTTGCCCTTTTTTAGGATCAGGGAAGAAAAAATTCAGCTCCTAAACAGATGGGTGTTCAATGTCTCCGGAAGGACATTTACCGTAACTAAATTGAAAGCTAAAGGATAGTATACTTTCTCTGCAGCTTCTGAATTAGCAGAACCATGAAATGCATTTCGAATAAAGTCTGTTCCATAGCATGCTCTAAAAGAGGCTGGGGATTTCTCACGCGCTTCCAAAGGATCTTCGGGACCGAGCAGTTCTACCCATTTCGAAATTGCATTTTCACCTAGTAATTCTAACACCAGAACCAAACCAGAAGCCATGAAATTTTGTATGTCTCTGTGTACAAAATAAGAACTATGATTCCGTGTTTTAAAGACCTAGAAAAAATTACATCACTGTTAGAAGTAAAAACTCACGATGCCTTATAGTTAGCACGATCTTTATAAAGCTCCCTTGCTTGCTCTCGAGTCAAATGCACCATTTTTATATTTCCGATATGAAAATTATGGTACGTAATCTTTTTCAAAATCTCTCCCATCTTGTCCATGACGTCCGGTTTCAGCATGGCACATGTCCTGTAAAAGTTCATTCCAGGATTTCCATGAAATCATACTAAAACGATACGAATTCATTTTGCAATAACGTTACCTACCTTTGCATCGACGAGGCCAATTTTTTCTTAGTACTCTCGTCTGCATAATCTAGTATCTTTAGGTTCCGGGAAAATATATTAACCATCCCTCCGACAAAGAAATCTTTAGCTTCCAGTCCGTCGCATTTCGATCTTCTGAGAAAAACTTTCCTCGCCTTGCGATCGAACTGCAATACAATTTTAATATCAACGTTTTTCTATGTAGTCACATTTATGTCGTTATCACCGGTACCTACCAATTCGACGCTGTTGTCGATTGGATAAAAGTATAAGTAGAAAGTTTTTAGTATGCATGACATCTTGTCGTACCATTCTGCTTCAAAACTGTACCTTTCCGCGACATTCATGTTTCTTACAATGGATCGTAACGGACTACGCGTACCGGTAGCAATTATTTACATCAGTGATATCGTAACGACATTGCCATGGTGACGGGTTAGTCCGTGTTAAAAAAATTGGGAGAAAGGGCTATCGATAACGACCAGGGAATAAGAGAATGGTGACTCTTTGAAAACGGAGAGAACTACCAGAGGGCCAACGTTAACCGGTCTCTCGCTTACAACACGAACCGATAGATGGCGTTCCAACTATGGTTCCAGGACCAGAAAGAAAAAATTACCGGCAGCCAATAATTCAGGCACTCGTCGAGAAGGAATTCACCCGACGACAGATTCATCCTTAAACATTCTTTGAAAAGACCAATCCTAACCGTTTACGTTAACGATTCTCTGGTCCGGATTCATCGAGGGAAAGATCAATGGTGTGACCGTGGACTTGAGTTTAAATCGGCATCCCTCGTCTAAAAATAAGGTTTCGGAGCACCGACGCCAACTGGTTCCTGCGTGGACTTACTCGAAGGTATATATTTTGCTCGAATGAGCTCTTCTCTATTTTTCTTCGTGGCGGAGCCAAGCCAGGTGGAAGGAATTTCGGAGAACAAGAGGGTCGGCCCGTCCACCCGACAGATGGGATCGCATCGACCCGATTTGATTCGATTTGACCGACGAGCTCGTCGCCGGGAAGGCGCGATGTCATGCCGGATGCGGCGATTATCACGTGGCGGACGTCGAGGCGTCCCTCTGGTGGAAAGAGGCGGGACGACCACGCGCGCCCTGTCAGGGCCCACGCGTCACCCATTACGATTAATCGGCCCTTTTATAACCGCCTCTAAGCGAGTATACGGACACTCGGACGGTAATTCGCCCCACCGAGCTCGAAACGTCGGAGTTTAACCGAGTATTTTCCTCCCCTAGGACCTGCTCGCGAGAACGCAGCCGAGCACCCTTGCGGCGAGCCTTGCCTCGCGAGTTCGGTGCGGCGTAAAACGCACCGCCGTATGGGGACATAAATCATACGTCGACGCTGGAGCAAAAAGACTGCCGGCTGCCTATAGGTGGGTAGGTCCTGACTTTTACCTGCCCTCGGCCCTCTCGCGCGACGAGACCACCCGAGTTAAGAGGGCGAGCTTCTCTATTTTTGCCGACCGATCGGTGGTGCCTCCGCGCTCTCGGGATGCTCCTTTCCGTTCGAAACGAAGAAACCGTTTTCCCCGGGACTCGGAGGACTTCCAAACAAGTTGGCCGAGCCGATGAATTAACACCCCTCGGCGATAAAAAATCCTCTCTTGATCCTAAGCGGGTGCTTTACGCGGCTCGTCTTACTCAGCCGAGAGATCCGATTACTTTGCATAGGACCACCGCAGGTTCCGCGAATCGGCGGCTGGAATTTATGAAAATATGACTTCGGGAGAATGCTCTTTGAAACGACTGCGCGTCCACGCGGAGGGGAATTTTTTCATTCCCAAGAAGAGCGAATCTTGGCGGGGTCTTCGAGGTCCGGAAGGAGGGACGAAATTAAGGGAGGCCGGCCGGCAATTTTTCCATATCTCGTTTCGGACGACGTCTTTACTCGCGCAATGTAATCGTAACGCCTTCGCGAATCCCGGTGACAAATATATTAGACGTAACCGGCGAGGGGCATAAACGAGCACATTGTTCGTCCTACGCCAGAAAACGAGTACGATACGTCCGTCCTCATTCGCAAATATGTAAATACTCCTTTACCCTGTCTAACGGACGATTGATATTAATGTCTGTATCTTAAGCAACGGAAGTACCTTTCTTCTCCGACGTCTCGAGGCGCTGTACAGGGCGTGGAATAAAAACTCTTCGTTTCTACAGGGTGGTGGCAGAAACGAGGTGGAGGGACGAGGGAGGGAACCGGCATTATCCTCGTCCTCGACGAGCCGCTTAGTCACCGGCGCACCACCTACCATGTCGGATTTACGGAATCGTGCAACAACGGGGCTCGAGGGTGCACCTGTGGTCACCACGTGACGGAGGAGCATCGAAGCGCGAGGACTCGCCAGGTGTAAATACCGAGTAAATACCGAAGTGCGTGGTAACGAGACACGAGTACCCGTCACGCGGACGCAAACGGTGAAACGGCGAAACGACAAAATTGTAAAACAACGAAATTGCGTCCACCGGAATTTCTCGCGGAATTTTACTTCGTAGTCGAGCTCGGAGAGGAACGCCCTCGCCCTTCCATTCCGAGGCGAGTTTCACGCGAGTCTCGCTCGCCGGGGCGTGTGGAGTTTTCTATTATAATTGGAAAGCTCTCGGCGCGCCTCCGGGAGAAAAGCAGAGTCCACAAGAAGGGACTACTCGAGTCGTCGGGCGACCCCTTGATCCAATCTAGATCGTCTGAACAGGCGATCTTTTACACTGAGCGACCCTCGTCTTCCGTCTTCTCGCCTCGGCGAGCCTCTCGCACGCATTAAGTGCTCTCGGCCGACCCGAGCCTCGCCGTATTCGAGATGGGACGAAAAGGGAACGCGAATACCACGTACGGAGCCCCTCGGTCCTTCGATTTTTCCCGATTCCTCGCGAAACTCGCGAATCTCCGGGAGGGTGATAAAAAAAATTCCCGAGTTTCGTTCCCTCGGGATTTGCCTACCCGAGTCGACGCGAACGACGCGAGGGACCGCACTTTCTAGATTAATCGAAATCTCGCCTTAGAGGTAGCTCCTGTCGAATCTGCTGATTAAATTCTACGCGTCGTTGCTTTCTCCGGGCAACGATGAGTCTTCGTTAAAAAAAAAAAAAAAAAAAGAAATCCTGGAAACACGTTCCAGGTTCCCCGAAAGATGGAGGTTAGAGGACGGAGTCTCGCCTGCAGTCTCGGGGTGGGGCGTGCAGCGGCTCGCAGCTGCTTCCAGCCCGGAGGTGTCTCCGGCCCGCAGCCTCGGAGCGCGGTCAGTCTCGTCGCGACCGTCGGCGAGGTCGCATCGTAAGCTGGCTCGGTGCGGAGCGGGCGCAGTCGCCACGTGCACGCCTCGCGCCAGGATCTTCCGGTGGATCGCAGCGGACCCGCCGAGTTATCGACCTCCCACCCGACGACCCGCCGGCCACCTTTACACCCGTTCGGCCGATCTACCGGTAAGTGGAATAAGTCGAATTCCGCGCCTCGCCGACCTCTCGAGTCGGGCCAAGATATTCTCTTGGCGCGCCGAGATCTTCTCGACGTCGGGGATTCTCGTCGAGATATGCCGCGGACGAATCTTTACCGCCGGTCGATCGGGAAACTCGATAGAGTCTCGCGCCAAATACCGATACTGGAAAATAAAGTTTCCGGAGGGAGGGCGTCATATTATCATATCGGGCTTATCTGACTCCGATTATCTCGGAAGGCTGAATGCTCGGGTTAATCCTTTAACTCGACCAGTTCGACCGGTCGCGGATTAAGTAATTCGCGTTTCGATCCGTCGAGTCGGAGCGTCTGGAGCGATTCGCAGCGTCGAGCCGGCGTCGGTTTCTTACGCGTCGAATATTTTCATCGCGCGCCCCGTCTCGTTAAAAACTATTCGGTTTTATCGCGATATAATTACCCGGGGTTAATTCGGGTCAACGGAGCTTGCCGGGCCTTTTAATCGGCTGATTTAAATCCCGCGTACTCGGGTGGTCGGTTCAATGGAGCCTCGAGTGACTTAAATTGGGCCGGCAAAAGAATTCGTTACCGTTCTTAGTGGGACCCGCGAAGGATTTATCCTAAGTCTTATTTACACCTACGAAAGGAGGACCGGTTTACGGTGCCCTGGTAGAGCTCGCGTGAAACCACTACACCTACGTGAAATCGCTGCGTGCGGTGTTTTCGATGATCCGGGGAAAAGAGAGGTCAGCTAAATTATTCGCCGATTCGATGCGAGTCGACTCGGATTGCCGGTTACGTCTCCCTTCGCGAGGCCCACTGCTAAATGCGTGAGAAACATTTCCGCGGGCCGAGATATGGTATCGGGACGAGCTGGAATTCGTTTTAAAAATGCCGACGAATTTGCAGTTGGCTGCACTTGTCTCCGCGATCTAAATACGTTATCTCGATCGTCCCGGATTTATCGGGGAGAGGACGAATTTCCCCGAGGTTCCGCTTCGAGTCGCGATACCTACATAAAATCGCCGCGTATCAATTTTTCCGATGGCCTCTCCCCGAGGGCCGAGTACACCTACACGAGGTCGCGGTGTAAATAAATTTCCAACGGTCCTCGCAAAAGGCGATCCAGCGAAATCACTGGGCGATCGGTGACTCGATCCCTCGCAAGGTTAAATTCGCGTCTCCGTTCGGCCTTGCCCTCGGTTACGTTTCCGCGGTCGCCTCGTTCTAAATAACGCCGATAAAGAAAAAGTAAGGAAATGGACGCGGACGGGAATAGCCCGGTTGGCCCGCGGAACTCGTTATTTATAACGAGTCCCTTGTCCTCGGATCGCGAATCTTTCGCAGGGGCTCTCGCTCTCTCAGGGGTTCCCGACGCGTTTGCGGGCTTGCAACCAGTCGATCCGGTTTCGATTATGCTTTCGTCGAGGCGGAACCTCTCGGTATCGGCCCGGACCCAGAATCGTAGGGGAAACCGAAACCGAAGATCGATATCGAGCTCCCACGGTCACGAGGAGCGAATTATCCCCTCGCAGCCTCCCGGGGAAGGCGTCTTCGTCGCTCGGGAGCGCGAGAGGGGAAATGGTCGAAAACGGGCGATCGAGGATGCGAAAATAGGCCCAAAGGGAGGGGGACCTCGTAAGTAGGTAATAGTCGCGGGACACGAAAAGGCCGAGGCCGGTCTAGGCGAGGATCCCGATCCTTTTTAACGATCAATACCCGGCAGGAGTTAGGCGCGATCCGCGCGTGCGTTCCATGAAAATTCGCCATTACGTCGTTCGTTTCAACAGCCGTTAAACCGCACCGCCGGATCTCGGCGGGATCGGGCTGGGCTTTAACGATCAGAGCTGCATGCTGGCCCGTCGGTCTTAGCCTCTCCTCGGGGATTTCGTTGGCTCTCGAAACTGCCGGCATTATGGAGCGAAAAGTGCTTCCAGGAAAACGGGGATGCCGGATCTCTCTTTCTCTTTCCGTTCTTTTGGCGAACCGGCAAAAACGATATATATTCCCGGAAGAAACGGAACGGCGGACCGATGGTCTCCGCTTTTACCCGCGAGCACGGTCGGTTACCAATGAAACTAACGTAACGAAAGTCTAAGGCTCGATCGTGGAATGTATTTTTACATCGCGAGGCACGGAGGAAGAAATCGACCATGGGCGACTTTAAGGAGGAATCGATTGGTCCTTTCCGTTTCATCGGGTTTGGGCTCCGCGGCGGAACAACGTCCGGTCCCACGAGGAGACGTCGCGACGCTCGGTGACCTCTTTTTCTCCGTCCACTCGTCGCGATTAATCGAGAGCGGACCCTCCGCTTCTCCGTTTTCGCCGTTATCGGCCGAGAGGGGCCGAAGTGCTCCTCGAGATACGACGAAATTCCTCTTTACGAGTCGTTCGAACTCGAGGGTGCCGATCGATGCCCGAAGTTGCGATCGGGATTTATTTCCGTTCCCGCGCTCCCGGAGGTCGCGATCGACTCGATTCGACTCGGGCCGCGATATTTACCGTCCTCCAGGAGGAGGTTCGATATTGCCGGGAGGCGACTTCCGACCTCGCCGCAAATCCTCGGGATCTCTCCCTCGAGGAATCCGCCGGGCATAATCCTCGGTATTGACCACGAGAGACGCGTATTTACCGATACCACTCCGCGGTCCTCCGCCCCGCTGCCGGTCGGGACGGAGGAGTACATTCCACGGCTCTGCATTATTCCCGGATCCCTCCGAGAGGAACTTTTGCTTCGCTCTCGCGGTTTCCTCCGGAACGGAAACCCCATAAATCGCGACTCGGGTTCCCTTCGTTATTTATCTTCGAACGGCCGGTTCGTTTCGAGCGACTCGCCGCCTTTCGCTCTTGGACTCGGCGTCACCGGCGATGCAAACCGCGTGAGAATTCCGCGGGAACGGGAGCGCAGGAGGGCGTTCTCGGGGTGTTCGCATCCTGGCCGGCGGCGAATCGGGTCGGGCGGCGACCGCGGGGATATTAAAATTTATCGAGCATCGCTAAGAGGCACTAAATTCCAATCCGTTTTCTGGTAAGCCCGAGCGATCGACCGCGACCCCTCGGCCATAACTCGTCTCGTTATTGGGCGCGTCGCGACGCGAGGGGAAATCGAGTCGGACCGTGACGCGATATCGGAGGGACGGCCGACCGATGCCGATTTCCGCTTCCCGGGGGAACGTCGAAAGTAGGGAAAGGTCGAGAATCCCCCGTAAAAGGCGAGGCGCGGCCAGCTCCCTTGCACGTTTCGTGACGTCTTTCGGGGAGCTGGTCGGTTTAGAGCGCGTTACCCCGCCGAGGGTGTCGGACTCGGCTTGACGGTTCCCAGGGCCGTAACTCCAGCCGTACCGCCCGTAGAGCGTCCCATTGTATTTGGCGACAAGCCAATAAACGTCCCGCACCCCTCGGTCCGCGCCGAGCCCACTTTATTTCCATTAAACCTCCCCGGATCGCGAAATAACGCCGATGGAAACGCGCCCTCGCGACTCGACCCGCTCGGATTCGCCGAACCCTCCGCTGTCTCCCTTCCACCTCGGTTCGGACGAATTTACAGAGGAATCGAGGTTTTCCTCGATTTATATATATATATATTTTTTTTTTATTAACTTCACCCCCATCGTGAAAGTCAAGGCGGACGGGCGAGTACGCGCAGGGACGACGGATTAAACGTCGGAAGAAGTGACCCGCACCGAGCCGCAATCAGCGTCATCGAGGGTCATAATGGCGACGCCCGGGAGATCGTATCGCGGCGCCGATACGGCGCGAGAATTTATTGCGGGGTAACGAGCCAATGAGATAAATCGACACAATTTGCCCCGCTCCGCATCCGCAATATTTGTCTTCGGGCGGTGATGGGAAGTCGTCGGGGTTCCGAGAACCGACGTCGCCAGGTCGTGTCTCCGCGCTTTCGTTCGCCCGGGTCGCGACGCCGAGGCGCACGGAGGAGGCGCGAGGATTTACGGCACGGGCGATAACGAATTACGGCACGGATGACGGAACGGAGTGCAATTGATTATTGCGCAAAACGCCGAGGTCGAGCCGGAGGAAGCGGCGGCGCGTTAGGTCATCCGCGAGCGATGCGGTTTTTCCGTTCTTTTTCTTCTCTCTCTCTCTCTGTTCCGACGACTCAAAACAAGAGATCGAGTCGCCACCCTTTTCGACTCCTCGGCGCTCCCGTTGCGCGCTCCTTGTTTCTCTCCGCTTGCGTTTCGCAAGCGTTCGGAATCGGATTACGAGAATTACTCGGTAATCACGGCTTATCGGCCGGCAAGACGCCACAATACCGGGTCGCGGGGGCGGAGGAGAACCGAGGACAAAGCGGAGAGTGGACGCGTCGATCGACCCCGCGAAAAATCGCTCGACCCTCGAAGAGGGCGACGATCGATCGGAAATTCGTCGACGCGACGACCAGCGACGCGCATTGGATTTTAATCGACGCCGGATCTCGCTCCATTTTAAACGCGCGGTCGATTTCGCTCACGGCCCGGGAGCGAGCAATCCCGTCGAAAGTGCAGGGCACTTTTCGGCTAATTAATTGGCGGACGGGGGCCCTCGAAGTGGCAGGTGAAATTTTCATTCGGGCTTTGAGTGGCCGAGAGAGCGCCGCGTTCGGGCATCGCGGACACCAGGGTTTAAAAGTAACCGGGACGAGTCTCCTTTCAGAAAATGGCCGCTCCGGGTGACTAGCGCACCCGAGCCTTGAATACCTGACAATGAATCTCGAATGCGAGTGCCGGGACGGAATTGGTCCTTTTCAATTCCCATCCGACGTCTCCACGCCGGCCGGCCGGCCCATTCGAGAACGTCCCCTCTCGTCTCCTCGACCATCCCGACCTTCCGGGACCTTCCCGGACCTTCCTTCCTCTCCCGGTCGGGCGGGATCGATTCCTTCTCGAGCCCGTTTCCGTAAAATCCGCCCGACATTCTCGGGACGGCGCGATCGGCCTCGGGCCGTCTTTTTCGTCGGTCGATCCAATTATGGCGCGGATCGGTCCGAAGTGGGCCCGGGAAGGCTCGA